TGCTCAGTCAGTCTCGTTGGGCACCCTATTCCCTCCCAAAAGGAACACTTGACCCGAACAAAGGAGTCCGGGGTTGATCCAATCCGTATTCTTCGGGACCGTGCCTGGGCTGTGAAACGGAGCATCTGGGCATCTTCGTCCGGTCTTTTCCCGCGTAGGTGTTTTTTTCCGGAGAATCTGATTGGGTCCCTGCTGAAAGTCATCTTCGCCCATTAAGTTTGTGCACCGGGGTTGTTGACGATTACATTACTTCCTCCCCATACTTTGGAGGTGAGTGCCCTGGGTGAAGCGCCGAGTTGGTAGGTAGACATCCTCCTACCCTCGAGTGCGGAGAATTTCCCGGAGAATGACGATCAGTTGCTGGACCAACGTTTCCAACGTTCGGCTCGACTCGTCGTCCCCTCGACCGGACCTCCAGACTTTCCAGCAATCCCCAAAGAGATCGGTCTGAGCAAGCAGTGCTACACGAGAGTGAGATCTTTTCAGGGAATACTCGATTGAAAAAATAATATGATAACAATCAACAACCGGAAAGGACCACAAGCATCCAGTTCTTAGAGACACCTGCGGCACTTCTGCGTTTTTTTTTTGGGGTTTAAAGAGACATACAAATGAGATGCCTCGCGGCACAAGGTTCCAATTTTCCTAGAGGTATTTACCACGCTTGACCAACTTAAAGGTAGATTCACAGTTCATTTAGCCACTCGAAAAAAGACAATCCTTTACCATGCCTGCTCGCACCAGCACTCGTGCATGGAGAGAGGAGACTTGCTTCGCACGTTTCTTTTCATATCAATGTGTGAACGTACATTGATGTTGTTTCTGCCTCAGTTCGGTTGTTGATCGTTACCCCGGGAAGGAAGCCAACGCTTTGTCCTTCCACTTTCTCCAGGTCTCATAGCATCTTTCCCATCATGAAACACGCTATGAAGAACCGGAGAAAAAGCATCCCTCGATGCGCTCAAAGCTTGTGCCGCAGTTTCAGCGGACAACTGGCCACCCCAACCCCTTTGAGGCGACTAGGGAGAGGTCATGCAGGGAGTAAATGGAAATAGACAAGGTATTCTGCTGTTCCTTTCTTCGGCACTTTGCAACGGTGGGACTATCTAGTTTCCTCCGACATGAAGATACTCTGACGCAACATGTGCTTGATTTGGGCCTGGGCTGGACACAAACTCAAAGAAGAGGAACGTGAAGCCAGCGCGGATGCGAAACATCTGCAAGTACAGATGCGAAACATCGCGGAAAAACCTGGGGTCACGAATCACATGTCAATTAGTGGTTCATGGTCCTTCGGGCAGGGAAAACACATAGCTTCTCAGTCGTTCTCTGCGGATCGTCCAACCATCAGTTCGAAGTGCCTGCGATGCCTTGCTGCATGCCTCAGGGATTGGCGAACCAAAGCCCGTTTAAGGTCAGACCTCCACAAAAACCAGGACTCTTTGAACACATCTCCTCCCTCTGTCTCTTCCTTCAAGCGCCTTCGGAGTGTTGTGTTTTCAAGAGCGCCACTAATTATATATATATATATATATACGTGCTTCTCTGACCGTGTCCGGAGTAAGGCATACTACAAAAAACCCACCTGGATCATCCTGTCTGGGTGTCGGAGATCCTTAAGCCGTGGAGGGTAGTCCAGCTAGGTGACCCAGACTGGATGGTCCTGGTATCAAATAAACGGGTCCCTGCGAACTTGCACCGCCGGCCTCATGAATTGAGCGACGCACCGAGTGTTCATCTCATGTTCAAGGCGCCCGGGTGGCAAGGCCATGTGGAGCGGTGCGTTGTCCACCGGCGCTGTCCACGAGCTGTAGCTGGCCAGCACTTCGTCGTCAAAGTGGACACAATCATCTTCACGGACCTGAGGTGAAACCGCAAAATTTCTGCTTTCGAAACATGCCTTTTTCAATCTCTTTTTTCCTCAATTCTTCTGATTGTTCAATCTCTTGTTTTTCCTCAATCTTTCTCTGAACATTTTGCATAGCATGCGCTGGCTGAGCGCTTCGCGATCCCAACGATGGCCAGATTGTGAGAAGGACTTTATCTATCTTTTGCTTGACACCCAATTCACAAATCCCACAGACTTACGAGGCCAGTGGAGGAGAAGAGTGGTGTAATGATCCATGGAATGCACCATGACGTGATCCATGGTGATGTAAGGTGTTTTTCCTTTTTTTGCTGATTCGATTTCGGAGGTTGTGACGCGTGTACTAAACGCGTGTGCTGACGACTGATGTGGCCTGGTATGTAAATCGACGCAGGTGTTTCGCCGACGAAAAAAATCGGCGACCATTCCGGTCAGCTGCATTTCCAAATAATCTCTGATCTGTCTGTCTCCAGTACGTAACTAGACGCACACGCACCTACACATATAACTGTTCGTAACATTGGAACATGCTCTTCAAAACTTCCCGTGATTTCCTGTATTTACGACACACTTATATATTCCAATAATGGCAATACTTCCAATAAGACAATAAGATCATTTTTGAATGAAATGCCGAATCCTGCACCCTTCTGGCACATTCACCCTCTCAACCTCTATCAACCCGAATCCTTCCCACTTCGCCTGAAAGGGGATCTCAACTCCTTCGACCACCACGCCGCGTGCAGCCTTGCTCGCCGTCGCCGAAGTCCACGTCCTCGTCGCTGCCGCGGCGCCCAACGTCTGCGTCCTCGACTGGTCCGAAACCCTCCGCTCGGCAGGCTGCTGGGGCTGCTTGGGCTCGTCTGCAGGGACCACCCTGGTGAAGGACTTCGCGCTCGCGGCACTGCCCATGGCGAAGTCCTTCTGTTTTTGCGGAAGATGGTCGGTGCTTTCGGTGCTTTGTTGCACGCTGCTTGAGGGCTTCAAAGGCTAGGGCACACAACCAATTCATATGTCAACCAAGCGCGCAGGACTTCGGGCCGCTCGACATGGGAAGGTGTGGACCTTCTCGGAAGGTCCAGTGGACGACCCGTCGCAACATGTTGGATGTCATAACCCGAGAAGCATGGTGGCCAAGGGAAGCATTTATGGAGTACAGAACAAAATTAAAGGCAGGGGTGGAGCGAGGCGTATGCTGAACCTTGACATGACTATGCATTACTATCATTAGATATTGCCTCTCCTCAAGGCAGCGCCAAACCTGCAATCGTTTCGTGGATGGTTGGGATTTACGAGGTGTCAAAAATAGGAGAACCCTCAACAACTAAGGTTAATTAATTGATTCATGAAAACCCTTTGCTTTCAGTTTCTCTCACTACTAGCTGGATGACCCGTCCACGGTCGGCCGCTGGAGTCCCCCACTGGCGGAGAGGATCAACCTGAGCAGCCGCGCAGCCAATCGTCGTCTCCCGGCCAGCTTTGGGGAAGAAGAATCACTAGTTGATCGAGTTTATGTTGAGGGAATTGCCCTTCAGAGTACCCAAGTGATTCTTTCAGATGGGTGGTGAAGGAAAGAGCAGTGGATTGGTATAGTTGCCACTAAAGAGTCTTGAGGTGGAAAGAGCGATTCGCGTAGTGCTGTGGGATAGCTGTCGGATGTGAGTCTTAAACATGGCAGCAACATGGTGCATGTGTGACACTGCTTGGGCCCTTACAACAGCTAAGACCGGCTCACAACGGGAGTTTCGTTTTCTACCATCCTGTGAGCCAAAACCCCTTTCTGTGTTTCTCTTACGCTTGGGGGTGATAGTATGTGATAGGTCTAGGTAAGGATCTTGTCACAGTTTCCACCTAGAGCCACTCAAAAAACGCCGAGTCGGCCATGGCGGCGTGGTTGCCATTCTGCCCAAGTCGCCCATGTCGGACAGCGGTCATGTCGCCCAGGTCCGCAGCATGGCAGGTCCATTGGTGTGGCGTGGGATACTCCCCGACGGAATTGGTTTCAACGTACGCGTGCGGAGCATCGCTCGGCTCGGCGAGGACGGTGCAGCACCAATTGCTAGCTACCAAAGCCAGCCATATCCAAGCCCATGTATATATACAATATATATATATATACACAGTATATAATATCAAAACATATAGTATGTAATGTCATGTCATGTAATCCAATGTAATGTAATGTGTGTAGAATCATGTCGAATCCAAACGGCCTTGGTCCGCTTCACACCGATCTTTGTGGCAGCCTCATGTCTGGAAGGGGCGTCGTCTTCGCGCCCGGAATCAGCTCTGAGACGTATGCAGCGACGCAGCGGGCAGCGGTTCGGACCGGGGAGTCGCATCAACCACACTCTGTCTGGAAGGGGAGTCAATCCTGTGGGAAAAAACCCCCGAAGGGTGGAGAAACTGGAGCACACTTGTGCTTCGTAGTCCTGGGTCCCCTTTGAAGGCACATTGGTATTTTGTGTGGAGGGGTCGGAAGCAAGAATATAGACCAAAACTTTCGTCGTTGGCAGGGACATGCACGGATCCTTGTTACAGTATGTTACAGGCCGTTTGGGCACCGGTGTTTTGTATCAACCGGAGTGGGCGATTGAACTCATTGGATCGTGATTCCTACGGACAAGTCTTCCTGCACCACATAGTGCTTCTCATGGTTGCTGGATGATACCACATGATGCACAGTATGATGCACATGTGTCTGTCCCGGTTGCGTGCCGCATGTCCATGACCCAAATCCAAATCCCAAACATTCGACCAAACCCCAGAGAATTCTAAGACCTCGCTCCGACCTCCCCCCAGCCTTTGACTCATAGGATGTAGTCAGCCACCGCGGGGAAGTGATTCCCTCAGTCATGACGAAAAAACGTATACGATCTTGGCTGCCTTGGCTTGGACATTAGACACCAATTCTGCTTCTAGGCATCCCCCCTAGCTCATGTTGGACGCTTTAAAATCTTCTCAAAAATGCGCGCAACGAGTGAAACACCCCGCCCCGCGTATTGGAGGAGGGACCTCAAGACCGAACACAATGTAAGGTTACCATATCCACCCATATTCTGGGCTTCCCCTAGAATTGCACCCTAGAGACCGGGGTAGGTATCAAATGGTGTTTCACCATCTGCAGGCATCGTCATGGTTCGCCGCACTGCCAGCACCGCCCTGTTTCACGCCCTCGCCCGCGAACATCGGTTTTATGGAGCCCCCCAAAAAACCAGATAAACCAACCTGCAAAAGCATCCCACACCTGCAAGAGCACACCAATACAGACATTTTCGCGTCGAAAAACAAACACTCCGACACAGTGGCCCCAGTGGCCGTTCAGCAGACCCATGGCATTCCGGAACTCCATGATGCCCTCGCCGGGATCTGAGGCGGACTTCCCCCAGACCTCGCTTCGGAACGTCTGGTTGGCTGAACACATCGCAGTCTGAGCCTGCTCAGTACTGCGTCCACTGCAAACTACGCCATTTGATGGCCACTGAAGGCGCTAGGGTCTATCCTCAGGGTTTCCTTGGTGACCTGGCGGTGCCCCAAAGCGGTGAACACCCGAAAATCGCTTGCTACTGGATGTGCAATCTTGCGACAGGTCGCTACCTAGTTAGTGATCATTCCCCAAAAAACTCCAAATGGAGAACGGTCCCCGACTATCGAGACCTCGATCGTCGCTTGTGTGTTGGGAAATGATCAGTACCATCACCAAGTGGCTGAGATGAACTTTTGCAAACTTGAAGTCCAAATGGCGTTCTTGACGTCCTGACTCTCTGGTTCTGCGTGGTCTCGATGGGTGTCATGCTGAAACTGTTGCTAAGACTTGTGGCAGAATTCCAGCCTCCAACATATATATATATATAATATATATTTTCTAGTGGCAACGAAAGGACAAAGCGACGCGGTCGCACCTTTTCGCGAAGCGAGAACGAGAAAAAGCTCAAGTGGATCCAGCTGCGGCGGGTGTGCATGGAGACTCAAGAAGCTGGGGAATGCAGAACCGTGAAATTCACACTGGTGTATTTTTCTTTTGGGTCGACGATCGTGCACACCGGCCATTCCATCCACTGCTGAAAAGTGGAGATCAGCTCCACGCTGGCCTTCGTGAGGCAGTCAGCCCACATGACATTGGTGGGTGTCCACCGGACGCTTTTTGCGTCCACATGCTCCTGGATCGACCGCACGGTGATGATCGTGCGCTTCTCACTCAGGGCCGGATTCGGGCTCAGAAGTGCATCGTAGAGGGACCGGCAATCGGTCACCTGGAGTTGGGCCAAGTGGCATTGGCCGAGCACATAGTCCTCATAGAGGAGCTCGCTGATGTAGCTGTTGATGTAGGTGGCTCTGTCGGCCGTCTCATCCATTGAATTGGCCTCGGAGGCCGCGGACTGCGGGCACTCTTCCAGTCCAGGGTGGATGCTCGAGCGGTGCCGCTCAAGCAGGCCGGCGAGCATGCCAGGATCAGCACTCCCATCTGGCTTTTGCCACCAGGTGCATTGGCCCATGAGGAGTCGGAGTATCCGACCCGGTGCATGGCGCGGTCGAAGCTGACCGGGTGGTAAAGCAAGCCCAACGCAGCTGTGTTCTTGACCATGTCGATGCATTCGTACAGCTGCTGGAGTTCTTTTGTTGTGGTGTCCTTTCCATGGTTGCTGAGGGACACCAAGGCACTGATGTCGGGCCGAGACTGCCCCGACAGCCACTGGAGTGATCCCGCGCAACTGCGGAATTCTTTCCATTCATCTGGGCTCAATTTGATGCCCTCGCCAAGCCGCTTCTTCTCCACCTTGCCGGGGGTGATCTCATTGATGAAGGCTTCTTGCGTCACCTTGATGGCGAAGAGGTCGCCGTCTTTCACCAAGCGAAGCTCCTCGCCGCGGAAGGTGATGGGTGTCTCTTCCGTCAGGTAGGTCTGGCTTCCCCAGTTGAACTTGCCCAGGATGCGGCTTGTGTCATAGTCATCCCTGAAGGCAACGAGGAAGTCGTCAACGTGGACGATGCAGCAAACCTCCAGGTAGCCGTTGGTGTCCCGGCTGTAGAACATCATATGCTCAAGCTTGTGGCGTGTCAGCTTGGCGTCATTCATCAGGACCTTGGTGACATGGGTTGTCCAGGTCCTTGGTGCGGAACAGAAACCGTACAGGTTGCCGACCACCTTGTAAAGCTCTGCCGGAAACGTTTTGGCCATTTGCTGGATTCCATCCCGTGGTGGCCTCATGTAGAGAGGCAAGGGTCGTGCTTCAGGACTTCCTTGGAGAAAAGCCGTAGAGACGTCTCCAGCCCAAAGTTTCCATCGATGCTTCTGCCTCTCGACTCGGGCGTTCAGCCCAGCGCTTGCCAGTTGAAGGAGGATGGCTTCCGCATGTCGGCTTGGGGTCGGACTTGTTCTGTCCAAGATCTCCATGTCCGGGTCAAGGCAGCCCAGAACCACTGTGCGGCATTTTGCCTTGAGCGGAGGGATCGATCGGTTCTTGTCCCTGTAGGCATTCCTTGCTGGAATGATTCTTCTTTTGAGGACCGCTGAGGCGTAGACAGCCTTTGACTCAGCTTCGGTCAGGGCCCTGATGGATTCCCAGGAGAGCCAGGATTGGAACTCCTTGATGTTGGCGATGATGAAGGCCTCGAGGGTGCCCTTGTCCTTCTTCATGATTTCACGCCAGGGAATCTCGCGATCCATGGCTTTGCGTTCTTGGTGACTCATCCGTGCCAGATCGGATGGCTGCTTTCTTTGTTCATCATCGGAGGATGCTGAAGAGAGTGGCTCATTGAGCATCTCGGCGGCCACTGTTCTGTAGACCATGCATGGGCTGTCACTCTCGATGATCGGTGAGCCATCCCATCCATCAGGTTGGGGTGTGATCTGCTGAAGGCGGCCACGGTCTTGAGATGTCATCAACATCACCTCATGCCTTGGCTGCTTGTTCAATGGCTCACTGCAGTCTCAGGTTCTCGATGAGGTGGTGCAGTAGCATCCATCAGAACAGGAGTTTCCTGTTCGCCATCTGCAGGTAGTTGAGGCAGTCCAGGATCGGGTGGAAGAGCAGGAACCGGTGGTTCAGGTAGTTCGAGATTGCCACCCTCGATCCTGTCGTCCTCAGAAGGTGGTACTGGCACGTTTTCTGGAGGAAGACCGAATGAAGGTCCTGCTTGTGGTGCCTCAAAGTGCTGGTGTACCTGAACATTCTGTTGCTTGAAGGTCGGAGAGTAGACCATCGGTTGAGGTCGTGGTAGCTCAGGAGTCTTTGGAATTGGAGCCGGTGTTGCTGGTGACGGTTTCAGTGCCAGAGGCATCACCAGATCAGGTATTGGCTCAGCCCGTTCAAGTTCAACTTCAGGTGCTGGTGCTTCGAGACGAGGAGGTGGTGGTCCACGTTCATCTTGCCATAGCCCCTTCTGCAGTCTAGTACTGCCGTCTCGCAGCATCTGAATGTCCTGTGATGAAGGGCACCAGTTCTCAATGCCAAATGCTGGCCGAATCTGTTCATAGGTGGCTTGAACCACACTGTTGCCATTGTGAAGCCAGGCGCTCTTGTTGTCAGGGTCGTGGCTCATCAGTCGCGCCAGGACATAGCCTCCACGTTTGCGCCCCTTTGACTTCTTTTGCCATCTCCAGTATGCTGCCATAGAGCCAGGTAGGATAGCCCGAGCTTCTTCACGAGATGGCGCTGTCTTTCGTAGGAGGGCTCTTCGAACTGCATGTGATGCTCTCGTCTCTGCGATGATGCGCAGAGCGTGGCTTCTCATCTCCTCCGCATAGACAGCGTCGTAGTTGGCCAGGAGTGCACGTTCATCACCAAGGATGTCACCAGGAAACCTTGGCAAGCGGCCGAAGACAGCCTGATAGGGCGTGCGCCCCTTGGAGGTGACTGAACTGTTGATCGCCTGGGTGGCGGCCAGGGCGATGTCATCGAGCATCTCTGGATGTGTGACTCCATACTCATCAATCATCTTTTCCATTGTGGAGCGCAAGATGGCGTTCTTACGCTCGATGCTCCCGATTCTCCAGTGTGCCTCAGCCGGCGCAATGAGAAGGTGTGTGCCAAAGCCTTCGATGCGCTCTTTGAACTCGCCCTCAAAGTTCCGGTCGTCGTCAGCTTCGATGACCAGAGGATGTCCAAAAGGCTTGAACCAAACTTGGCAGAGGGCGTGGTAGACATCTTTGGCGCCTTGTCCAGTTAGCCGAATCGTCTGCTGGTAGTTCGTGGCCATGTCGACAATGCCGAGGAAGCAGTGATTGGCGCCAGTGAGATCTCTCACCCAGTAGCGGTCAATTTGAAGTCGATCGCCGAACTGGCCTGACATGGTCGGTATGGCTGCTGGACGAGATTGCTGAGGAAGTTGTGTCCTCTTGCATGATCCGCATTGAAGGTGGTCGATGCAGGAGAGGATCTGAGAAGTGATAGCCCCGTGCATCGTCAGAAGGCGGATCATCTCTTGTCGGGCTGGATGTCCGGCGTTCACATGTAGTCGAGCCACTGAAGCTTGAACTTCTCGAGGAATTCCGGCAGGTAGTCCAGGAAAGCTGACGTCAGTCTTGAGGCCTGGAATGTGATGATGTGGCTCTTGTTCTTTTGGCTTGTCTGGCTTCTTATCTTCATCTTCAGCGACCCCATAGAAGAAGATCGCGTAAGCCACAGGACGGCCAAACTTCTGCCTCGGAAACTCGAGAGCTCCAAGATCCTCAGATTCCAGCTCGAAGGTGTTGTCGTTGAACTGGATGGCGCTGCCTCGATGGGTGTATGGAAAGTCCTGAGGCAGTCGGCGAATCATTGGTCTTGAGGTGGCCTGGACACGGCTCAGCTCCCAGGGTACAAGCTCGCTGACGATCTGGTAGATCTCGCTGGAGGGCTTGAGTGTTATTGTCCGGGCTGACGTGTTGCCGAACAACTTCTTCACCATGTCCAGTGCTTGAGTCCAGCGTTGTTCATCGTGGACCGGTTGAGCATATAGGACCCAGTGCACAGGTTGAAATCGTGCAGGATAACGTCGTTGTGCTTCAGCTCGTAGGCCACGAAGCATCGCGTGGACCATTTTCACAGGGTAGACTTGTGAATCTGTCACCCGTTGGCCTTCAAGCGGCCTCGCTTGTGTCTTCTCCTCCTTGGTCATGCGGCAGGAGAGTTCGTTGGCAATCTCAGTGGAATTGGTGAGGCAGCCGAAGGACTTGATGATCACATAGCCGTCTTTGTCAGTAGCGCCATATGCACCAGAGTCGCAACTGCCCTTGATGACGTCCGGGTGCTGTGCCAATCGAAGAACCTCCGGTTGATCCCAGAGCCTGCTACGGAGCGGGTTCTCGAGGAAGAAGAGATCACCGTTGGTGAGCTGTTGAAGGCACCGTTGTATGGCGAATCGCAGTCCATCCAGGTCTGCCTGACGAAGTTCATAGAGTTCCTGACATCGATCAGGTGAGGAGTAGTTCAGGTTCTCATTGAAGATGTTGTAGAGGGTGCAGGGATACCCAACCAGCAGCAAAAGAGGTCGAAACTGGTTGATGGCCTGGATGCACCATTTCCTCACTTAGGACTTGTCGGACGTTCAGGTCATAGCCATCGTCCTTCTCAAAGGGTTGGAGCGAAGTCAATCCATGCTGCTTTGCCAAAGCCGTTGGTCTTGCAGCGCCGCTGTAGAGCTCGAGGAGGTCGACCTTGTTCTTTATGATCTCCTTGTAGGGCATGTGGTCGAGCACGTTCACCTCATTCTCCAAGGTCTTGACATTCTTTGCCATGTTGCCGCTCAGTCGCTTCCGGAGTCCCAGCTTAAGATGCGACTGTGACTGTGAAGGGTGCCGAAGGTGCTGGCGTTGTCCATCAGGACATCGAAGTCTTGGAGCGCTGCTGCTGTCAGGCATAGTCTCCTCTGGCACCAGCATCAAGGGCTCCGCGTAGACCTGAGTGATCGATTCCACCGCCGTCCAAGGTGACTGCGGCGAGTGCGAGGGTTTGGAGCAAAAGCCATCCGACTTCCAGACGCCTTCCGCGTCGTTCCAGCGCCACCTCTGGTAGCATGCTTTGCACCTTGCGAAGTTGCCCCATCCGTTGCCGTAGCGGCGGATGAAGTCCGGGTGATTGCATGTTGGTGTCTTGCCGAATGGATTGGTCGGAGCATAGCCCATGCGGCTGGCTTTGCTTGTCTTGCCCTTCGGAGGTGCGAGCATCAGCTCGGCGCCCGTGCTGTAGCTCTGTGACGAAGATGCCGGTCGACTTGGCGGTGGTGGACTTGCCGGTGTCGGAACGATCTTCTTGTCCTTGGAGGCCTTGGCCTGTCCACCCTTGCCGGTGTTGGCATTCTTGCTGAGCTTCTTGGTGCCGTAGGCTAGCATTGCCTTGTACTGCTCGAGCGGCATGATGCCCATCTTGACTGAGGCCGCCATTTGCGTCCACACGCTCATGGTCAGGCGGATCAGCCTTTTCACCAAGCTGGCCCATGACTTCTCTGCCGATGTCGCTGGCCCGTCGTGCATGAAGGACGGTCTGAGGAAGGTCAGCGGGCTCGAGATCAGCTGTCCCAAAAGCTGCAGGCGGTGGCAAAATGATGACTTCATGTTCCTTCGAGTGCATGAGCTTCTTGCAAACAGGACTGTCGTGTGACCATGACATCAGAGCATGCGAGTCCGTGGTGGGAAATTCAGTGATCTTGATTGCGAGGTGGCCCAAAACTTTCACAAGTGGAACCTTCAAACCATCAAACACACCCAACACGGCGATCTGGTTGGCGAAATCCAACGTCAATGACAACTTGTGCATGACCGAAAGGCTGCCCAAAAACGGAATGTCTGCTGCTAAAACACGTACTCCAAAAACACAAACATGACCTCGAATGCCGGCGGGAAGAAACGCGAGCTGGTTGGAGGTCAAGGGTTCGCCGGCACCAAATTTCAACTTCTCATAGCTGGACTTGATAGGGATGTCATACCCAAACTTGTTCATAATCATCTGGTGCTCGTTGAACCATTGGCTTCCGGTGCACGATCGTTGGCATGCCGAATCCAAAATCATGAAGTGAGCAGCGTGCTTCATGGAGGCTGCAGGAAGTTGGGAGGTTTGGAAAACAACCAAAACATCATGCGGCTCGTACTCGACGTCCGAACATCCCTCCGCTTCCTCATGAGTTTGGAAGCCCGTGTAGTGATTCACAGTGAACACCTTTTTGCCGTCCGACTTGAGCTGGAGGCTGCTTTGCTCTTGCCGCTGCCTTTGCCCTTTTTGGCGGAGACAGTGCAGGCTTCGATGGATTTCTTTGGAGCATTCCTGAATTTGCGGCCTTGGTTCATGGCCGCGAGCTTGCGAGCCGTGACGGTGAGCACTTGCATCAGATGTTCCACATCTTCGGCACCATGGTTGTCATCGGTGCCGTCGATGTCGTCACCAGCATCCTCTTCGTTGGCCAGCTCTTCAAAATAAAAAGAAGGATCCTCAGGAGCAGGTGGATCCTCTGCCTCGCCATCTGGCGAGCCATCCATGGTCTCGTTGACCGTCTGGAAAACACGCCTCGGTCTATTCTTCCCATCGCCCTTGCGGTAGGAGGAAGCCGAGGTCGGAGCTGTGCTTGCCGAAGACATACTCGAGGAAGTAGTTCCGCTCGAGAAGTGCTTCGACGGAAAACCTTTCCCGCCTGGTCCTTTTGAGCTCTGGTAGGCTTGGATGATCGGAGGTGGAGGCCTGTAATCTGGAAATTGCATGACCAGGGCCGATCCGATCGCATCGACGCTCATGTCCTGGTTCGTGCCTACTAGAACCAGTCGTTGTTGATCTTGGCTCAACCGGCAGCGGTCCAACAGACGGCTGCCTCTTGCTTCAGCATCGTAGGACAGAGCAATGTCCACGCCGACGGCTTTCAGAGCCAGTTCGGTACGTTTGTACCGGTTGATGAAAGTCCGTAAGGACTCTGAGCCGAAGCGGCTGATGTTTTCGTAGGTGTGGAGGTAGTGGCGCTTCACGTAAACTTGCTTTTGTTGGAAAGCGCTCTTGAGGAGGCCGAGGATGGTCTTGACCCCAGTCTTGGAGTAGACTTCACTCATCTCCAAAAACTCGAGTTGCTGTTCTGCTTCTCCCTGCAGGGATGCGTACAGGGTCAAACCAATCTCAGCTTGCGACATGAAGTGTCTGGCCTGCATCTCCCACAGAAGTACCTTCCGCTCATAGCGGTCGTAGGCGCGGACATCTTCAGGGTTGAAGTACCACTTCGGTGGAGCAGGAGCTGCGCCTCCACGGAACTTGATCCCCTTGGAGGGTCCCATCATGGAATTCCATGAGGCTTCTGAAGAATTGCCCTTCTTGATGAGCTTGGCCAATGCCTTGCTGAGTTGGTCGATGGGATCTTGCAATGCAGGTCCGGGTGTCGCACGTTGTGAAGCAGCCATCGACGGAGGTCGAGAAGGTCGTACAGGAGTTCGTTGAGGTTCCTCCTCAAAGTGGTATGGGTTCTCAGGCATCTCGGCTGCCTCGTCTGGCAGCACAGGATCGTTGGTTGGCTGCTCACTCTCTGCGTGCTCTTCTTGGTGCTGTTCATCGCCCTCAGGATCATCAGGTGGGTCGTCTGGTCGACCATTGCGCCTTCGTCTCCTTCTCCTTCTCGAGGATGAAGTCTGTGAGCCCTGTGAAGACGGTGGTGGACCGGAGCTATCATGTGGCATGTACATCCATGTGCCAAATGCCGTGTGGTGCTTCTGAGGTGCACGAGGGTCGAAGAACTTGTTGGCGCCACAGTATTGGCATGGCATCGAAGGTGACCATCTGTGGACTCGTGAGCACATGGCACAACACAACTTCACCTCCTCCTCGGCCGCGGGTCCCCTGTCAGCTCGGGGAGGTGGTTCATTGCGTCGATGCCCTCGAAGGTCTTGACCTGGTTGTACCGGTGGTTCATTATGGCGTCGTTGATCGCGAGCAGGTCGTGATTCTTTGGGAGGTCTTGGTACCTTAACACCGCCAGGTTCTCTAAGGCCAGGAGGTTCGGTCACATGGCCAGGTACACCGGCAGGAGGTACTCGAGAGGCTCGGGAATGAACAGGTTCGTCACCAAATAGGTCGAACTGGCCATCCGGCATCTCATCAACAAAGCGCTCATGGAGAGGTGCCAAATTGGGACGTCCAAAGGAGTCACCCACTGGTCCATCGTCATCCATGTCCTGGAGACCTTCGTCGGAGCCCATGAAGATCACTTCCGGGTCGGAGGTACTCAACAGTTGCGCAGTGGTAGCATGCGGTGGGGCATCGAACTCAAGGTCCTCGTCCGACTCGGCAGCCATGTCGAAGTGCAGCGGCCCACGAACTTGTTCATGAGGGGGTCGAGGACGTGGAGCGACGCCGCCGCCGGCGCCCGGCCGAGCTCGTCGCAGCAATTGCGGACTCCAAGCCATGGCGCGCCCCAGATCGGGGCTCCGCTGCCAACTAGTGGCAACGAAAGGACAAAGCGACGCGGTCGCACCTTTTCGCGAAGCGAGAACGAGAAAAAGCTCAAGTGGATCCAGCTGCGGCGGGTGTGCATGGAGACTCAAGAAGCTGGGGAATGCAGAACCGTGAAATTCACATATTTATATATATATCATATATAATGTACCCCAAATTATCCCAACATCGTGTGGTCGTCCTTCGCAGCATCTTTGGTCCTTTGAGATGTCGGTTTTCATCCCAACCAAGATGCGGATCAAACGCTTCGATGGGATACCCTTACAAACCCTTCCAGAATTCGACCTGGTTCCCTTCCGTTCACCGTGGTGGCGTGGCGTTTTCCCCTTCCCAGGAGTGCCGGATGGGTCACCCGGACCGCCCGGGACACGCGGCAAACGGCGGTGTTCCTGGTGGTTCCGGATGTCCACGGTGCGATAGGCCACGCCATCCACCTTGAAGGCGATGGAGTTGTCAGAGAGCTCAAACCTGAGCTGAGGTGAAGCAGCGGAAGGACCACAAAAAGGGGTGTGCCCTCCACATCAAAAGGAGCCGTTTTAGGAGGTCCTGCTGTTTTACGAGGTCACCATTTTTTGACCTTCAAAAACTATATATATATAATACATATATATATATATAATCACATTTTTTTTGGGCATCATACAAGTATCTTTACCTTAGCCCCATGACACACTCATAAGTTTAGCTTTTCTTTTTGCATTTTAGCGACGCCGATGGCAATTCATCGCCGAATTAGGAACAGCAAGTAAAGTGCCGACGTGGGTCACGCTGGATTCACGCTATGTCACGCTTTTACGAAAGCGTTTTAAGGACAAAACCTAGCAAAACAAAACACATAAAAAAAAACATGGTTTAGGTGGGAGCCAGGTTCAGGCACTTGCAAGCTCTAAGCACATATAGCTATTTTGGCGGCTCATCCAAAGGCATCAGTATAATAGTAAAATCCAGCTTTCACTGAGTAAAGAACATCTTTTATTATCTTTTACTATATCATACTATACTGTATCATTTGCGAAAAATAGAAGACGTCGCTTCGAAAAATAGAAGACGTCGCTTATGGAGTAAAGTCCGTCTATCTACCATTTCCACGAAAAGTTTTTGGAGGTCACATTTTGCTATTGCTTTTGCAGACAATTGCCCAGTAAAACCACGGCGCTTGACTTGAAGGGTTGCAAGTTACTTGTAACTTCTAGTCACATCATGTCATATACAAATGTAGTTCAGGCTTCATCTGGCTTGATTCGACTCTTTCGCCCCCTTTCTGAAGTGGCCTGCACCATCCTCTGCACCTTCACACTCCGAGCAGCCCATACTCATGTACATCCGCCGAGACGTCGAAGGGCACCGTAATCCAATCGTTGTGCTCCACGGCGATGTCGGTGAACATGTTCGTCCAGATCCGCGAATGCCCTCCTGATCGTACCCATCGGCCCGATCGGTGGTCCCATGTGCCGGAGTGGAGTTTTGGGTGGAACAAGGCTTTAGATGACCCGAAGATCCGGAGGCATCAGGTGGACACCCCAAAACAACCAGACTCATTTGAAGTTCATTTGAGATGGGGTTTGCAGAACCTCGAGAGCCATGGAGATGTGGCCTCTGTTGTGGTCTGAATGTTTTCGGTTTGGATCGTCCCAAAAATGGTCATCCACAGCGGAGAAAAATCGGTAGAGCGTGGAGGATTATCTTCAAACTGAAGGGCCGATGACAAGGGAAGATTGGCTCAACATTCGTTGGTCTAAGTGGGTACGTGGACGCCAGCCCAAGACATGTCACCCACATCGCCTACGGAGGAACATGACAAGACCTCTCCGAAGCAACTCACACATGTCAGTCTTCTGGTCTGCTGAGCAAACGGGGGTTACCAAAGGTTACAGGATATGCAGCTGAAATGTGCTGCACAGTTGAACCCGTCCGACGTTCTAAGTCGTGGGTCAAATCAACATCCAGAGTGTGTCCACACACACAGAGTATATATATATATATTCATCTGTTTAAGGATATTTAAGGTATGAACAAACATGAACAAACAACGGCACCATTTCGGACGTGGATTCACCGGCCGATCTATGGTGGAAACCCTCTTTGAGCCACATCCACAAAACCTACCTCCACGTGGTGGCAGGTGGTGCTGCCACGCGCCTGCCATGTTGCCCATGATCTCAAAGTCGAGCTCCACCCACGGATGTGTTTTTGTCCTTACTGTTGATGAACCAAACCCCACAACCAAGCCAACATCGATACAATATGGTAGAATCTCCATATCACATGGGCTCACTTGATGCGGTCCCGCGTGTATGCGTTTGCACTCAGTGTGTGCTCTGCTCTCTCGCATCTGTTCTCCATATTCCCTCTGGTGGCTGCTCTCTCCATAATCATTCTAAGGCGAAGAACAAGTGCGTCTGCGACCCCTCTCCCACCCTCCACAATCACAAATTGGGACTCTTTCCGAGCGTTGTGCTGAAGACCTGGACAAACATTCGGCACTTAGCAGAGCTCTGCAGAGACATCTGTCACATCAGCACACTCGTTTAGCATCCATCCGAGCGCCGTCCTTTCCTCAAGACGCACACAACGGCACCCACATACGTTGCATACCAGAAGTCCCAAAACAATGTTTCTCGAGATCATTTGAGAAAAGGCCTCCATCCACACCCCCAACAACCATGGAAGTGGACAATCCCCTCTTCGTAGGGGAACATCGTATTTCCAGGATCCTTTTTCTACTTCCATGATTGTTTCAGGTAGGGTGCTGTATGTATAATACTATATTATATACATTCTTATTCCTTCATGTGCTCCTTGAACTCCCACCAGCTTTGGGGGACGGATTTGCCGCCCTTTTCCGGCTTCTGTCTCAGGTGCTTGTCGTAAAGGCCCCCATTGTTGGAGAGATAAAAGGTGGAGACCACTCCTGGACCCGCTGCCGCCTGGCGAGGGCTCTGGGTTTGGATAGTCGGAGAGAGGTGAGAAGGGTTCGGTGAGCACTCGGGGGGTCGAGAGAAAGGAGACCGGCGTCGGCCTGTCGGCTCAAATGGACGGAATCCCAAATCAACAGCTATCGTTTATTCTTGCCAGAGCAATTTCTGCTGTCAAGCTTCCCTACAACCAGACTTGTGATGGTCTCTGACAGCGTACCGTGCGTACCGTGTGGTGGTGAGCCAAACTGTCGCTGGTGGTAGTGTGACCGTGAACTAGGGTGAGTGATCATGCCTCTTCAAGCTATTCCACGGGTATACACCAAGTAGGATCTTCCCAACTGCGTGACCATATCCGATGTAAACTTTTTCAGGCATATCCCCCAGTTTTAGCTCATGGAACATATAGAAATTGGTGCATCAATTGACATGTGAGACCCTCCTCCTCCCAATCCTCCCAACCTTCGAACTTCGCGGAACTTCCGAGGGAATCGGCCTTGATGCGGATGGAATGGTACCCACGACCCACGAAGTTGGAAGAGCTCAGTCGAGTGCCTGGGAGGCACAACGGTGAATTGGCCAAGCGGTGGAAAACGCGAGAATCTCTTGGGATGGGGGGAGGTCAAAGGGGCAAGAATTGGATGAAGACTCTTTTGACTGATCTGTGGACTTCGAGAGCGGGATTTCAAGCACACGTTTCTTGAGGATGACAGCTCTACACCCCTGCTGGGCCCTGGCCCCTCAATATTTGGACACCTGGAGAACATCATGTGCATCTAGGGGTGTTATCCATTGTCATCGGATGTCTGATCAATGACGATTGATGTGCACCTCAATTGAAGTGTCATGTGCTCCTCCACCTGATGTCCGCGAGGTGCATCACTTGTTGAATTCCAAGAAGGAGCCCCACCCTTCCGACCAAGTACTGTACACTTGCAGGCCTTCTCCCGAAGACCCGAAGGGCACAGCGATGGGTTTTTCACTGGACCAATTTTTGGTCCGAGTCTTCTGCGCTTCATCTACCTCGCCATCCTTGCCCAGGTAGAGATTTGAGCCTTTTCTTCGACCCTCTGACACTCAGTGGCCTACAACTCTCTACCAAACATATAGCCTTGTTCGTTCGAGTCACCCTCCATCCCCCTAGACCTGGCACCGGAGCCAAGCCCAGCCAAGCCCACCTATCACCGATCCTGCGTCCAAGAGGCCACAAAGGTCGGACTTGGGACCCGTGCAAGAGATCCTCGGGTTCGCTGACCGCTCGGGTCCCGTCTGCCGGTGTCCGGCCGATGGCGGGCTCCGGGCCTCTCTGTGGAGAGACTTTCACCTTGCCGCACCTAGACCTCCAAAGAGCTCGAAAAGGCTGTGTGAATCCGGAAACCTCACCCAGGTGGTCGAAAGCACCATAGCAGCATGGCCGAAGACATTCACCCAATAGAATATCATCAGGCACAAGGTCATGCACCCTTCACCAGCAACATGCGGCGCAGTCTTCTTGAGCAAGACCACCGATATCAACATAGGCATAACCATGCACAGCCGAAAGGTTACACCCCTATCACTATCGCTCTGTGGAAAAAACAAAGAGGCAACGTGCGATGAAAAACCAGCTTGGGTTGTGAATGACACATCTGATCCAGGCATAGGTTTCATGTCCATGTCGGAACCTTGCGTGTGTCCCACAACTCCATAGCAATTAGACAAGCTGTTTGCTCGATGATCAGAACTCCTCCAGGGAGAAAGCCTAACAAATATCTGCAATCCGAACTCTATCAAACACTATACTCTATCAGTTTGCTAAGTTTCTGCATTTTCTGCATCTGTTAGGATCAAAATGTATCACCCACCTATTGGGAATGGCCCTGGCTTTGTTAGGTTGGCAGCCTGAAGATGTGGTCCTATCTCCGCACCACCGTCAAATATCTTTCAGTGTCCAAGGAGGAGTGCGGGCTGGGTGGATTGCTTCAATCAACAGTGATCCATTACTATCAGGTTTCCATAGCTATCAGCATCTTGCAACTTGCAAGGCATCATAGGCGTTTCCTGACCCACTTGCAAAAACCTGACATAGTGACATAGCTATCCATCAACTGCCTCGTCAGCCTACCTCTCCGCCCACCCCTTAGCCGGCTCAGGGCTCTGTCGTACATTGCCATGACCTGGGTGTTTTCGGCGAAAGAAGCACAAATCCATTTCTGCAACCCCAAGCAGCCACTGAAGTGGTTGGACAGTGGACATCCCTCACAACAACTTCTTGCAATGTAAGAAATCTTGACCACACTGCGAACCAACCAAGAATGAAATTGTCGTTAAAGGTTCCAGGTTGATACTCATCATGGAGGTTGTCCCCTCGCACCATACTGATGTACATAGAATACTTATCACACCTTGTCGCAGAGCTATGAGGAAAAAACACATCTGCAATTATTCCCTTCAATCGGAGACTTGCCCTGGCCCTTCACATCTTGCGGGTCCAGTGGGTCCCATGTGAACTTCTGCTGTGACATGTGCAATCCAAACAGTCCAACTGGGAACGCAGCCAGGGTCTTTCTCCCGATCTCCTTTCTCCCGAGCTTGGAAAAAGGCCAGGTCAACGGTTTCCGTGTCGACTTGTTCGGTTTCGAGTGTTGACAGGCTTCGGCCCTGGATCGAGACACAAGTCATTGAGGGCTGTCCGGCCATGCCGGATCCCAATTTTTGAATGGCTCAATGTGACATGATTCGAGTTGCCAGGGCTTGGTGTACCGCAGTTGGTGTTGATTTGTCTTTCTTCCTGAGCTTCAAGCAATGCACACGTCACTATATAGTTCATATTCATGTTCAGTTTCTCATAGGGCATGTGAATGGGGGCTGAGGCTCCACTGATTCACATTGGCTTTAATGTCTTCGCTCACAGGTGGTCCACACCGGCCCGGAAACATGCTTGGTGGCTCAGCGGCGCTGGCAGTGGTTGGCGGAGTACGCCACGGTCCAGCCACCTCCATCGCAGGAGTTAGGACAGCATTCGTGCCAGCAATAGCTGCCATCACTTCCACCTGCAGCGGGGGCAGGTGGGACCACCTCAAAGGCTGTGATGGAGGGGCATCCTTTCAACCAGCAAAGCGGCTGGGCATCTCAGGATTTGCTGCCTGTAGGCTGTAGGATCTTGAGAGTAGCGACATAATGTTGACAAAGAGAGGCTGGCACCAACCAAAAAAACACACCACCCATGAGCCACTGGCAAATATGGGAACACAAACTTTGGTGCTTCTTGATTGGTAGGTCCGCCTGGAGCGCTATATACTCTTCCCTCCCCGCAGCTTCGTGCTTTCCTCTAGCTGAGTGGCCGCAGTACTGGCCGTTATTGGTCCAGGCACAATTACAAGCCACAGCTCCTGGCCGTTCCGGTATGAATCAGCATGGGGAGCGGGACTCCTCAACATCCATGCTTCACAAACTCAGGTGTTGGCAACATCTTCCGTATTGTCCAGCACGAGCGTCGTTCTTTCACGGGAAGTGCGTGGAATTCCGGTGTATAGCAAGGACAATTGGGCACTTCATCAGGAGCACTTCAACATCAGGAAATGTCACTCCATCCTAGCTGCCACATGGTGTGGTGGAAAATCCTTCTTCGGTCTTCAAACTGTGTGGGATCAGGATGCCCAGCGACACTGCGATGGATGGAGGGCAAAAGGGTCGCCTGAGCAACTGCGAAAGTCGATCAGGTCGCCAAGGAATCGTCCTTGCCAGGCTTTGCATCTAAAATATGGTGTGTGTCATTTAATAGGGAGACTCCCAACCAATGGGCCACCAATGGGTAGACTGGTCGATGTTTCTTCCACAATTTTAATACACACCCATATGTCAGGACGCGTGGCGTCTTTCTGAGGCATCCTGCGGATTTCTTACTGCCGTCCTTGCCAGGCGGAAAGAGACAGCAGGACCGCGAGGCGGAGCGCCATGTTCTGCGGCCTTGGGACACTTGGGACTCGGGCTTTTGGTCAAATCAAGGTGTTTTCAATGAGACGATCCGACGAGGATTTGAGATGCAAAGTTCAGGCAAAACTAGTTCACACTTCAGAGGCCTGCGGCCTGGAAGCCGCCCCATCGCGGAGCCCAGGAGTTGTGAACTGGCTCTTCTGCACCCCCAAGTCCCGGATGATGAGGGTGTGGATGATCCCCACTGGTGAACAGGGCCGTGAACGCCACGATTCGACCGGGCTGGGTTTCAGGTTCCTCGAGTCCAAAAAGCGCATCGCACCCGAGTCGCAGCGCACCATGTCTTTCAACAAGACGTGCGAATTGGCACGCCCCACTTTAGATAGGTCAAATGATGTCAAATGTCCAAAAGCCTATCCCTTCAAAACGCTTATAGCAAGAAAGCACAGCCCATTGCACCGCTCTTGCAATTGATTTGGCCACCTCTTTGCAATCACAGCTGCATTTCTTCCTAGAAGTTCCTCAGAAAGAACCTAAACTCTACACCGTTCCCTGTCAGATCCACTCCACCGTGTCGCGCTCGTGTGGACTTCGGGGAGAAGGCGCCGCGGTGTTTCCGAGCAAAAGCTGCGTGGCCGGGGCTGTGGCATCCGATGGTGTTTTCGTTGGAGCCCAGTCCCCGTTCCACCCGAGAAAACGGACCACCTCCGGCATCGGACGCCGGGCGATTTGCGCGGCGAAGCATGGACTTTGGACATCTGAAGATCTGTCCGTATGAGCTGAATCGACTTCTTGGTCGGCCTTGGGACCAAACCGTTTTAGAGTGAAAGTCTCATGAACTTACCCAACCCCTTCCCAGGCCGCCTGGAGGCCCCTCCCAAAGCTTCTGGGATTCCCTTCCCGAACTGCCAGCATCATCGCCCCATTCGCCTCATCGGGCCACCAGGCATCCCACTTCGGCGCTGCCCTCCCGCGGTGGAGCGAAGGCAGTGAAACGGTGTGGGGGGAGGTCTTCGGTGCTTTTCCGAGGGGCGCTTCTCGCGTTAAGCGTTGGTTTCAAGCAATGGTCACTTGAAACTGAAGGGAGAACACATTCATGTGTTGAATACGTAGCACACCACGACCGGTTTGTCGCACAGCCCGTACCGGGTCCGTCGCAACAAACAGGGGCAGTGCAGGACGAGGCGGGGAAAACATACATGAACCATGACCCAGGATGGAGGTGCGACTAGACTTGGGCATAGACAAGGCGGGCACCTAACACCATGCTTTTTTTGCTGAATGTTTGGCTAAGTTGGGTAAAGCTGGACTCTTGGCACTCGTATCGGTTGCAGCTTTCTGCATAACCCGTAGGAATTCTCAAAGGACCGTTCCCCAAAAGAACATTTCAAATTGTTCCTTCATCATGTTCATCGTTCGACCAGTCACGCGCAGACCATGACTGTTGTCTCGCACGAAGCGTTACGCTTCTCGCGGCACTTTGGCACGCTGAGTTGCTCGCGCACCACGAGGCACCTGGAAACCACCACTCTCACAGCATTGGAAAAACCTCTCCAATCACTAGGAAAGAAGGACTTGACCCTTCTTCACACACTCAAGCCTCTAACTTCAGCTCAAAAACACACAGCCTTCGGTTCTTTGTGGACCGACGGGTGAAAGACCTGTTGATACCCCAGTTCATCACAACTAATGGCCATCTCCATGGCCGCCGTGGCTCTCATGAGCTTCATGTCCATCTCCATGGCCTCCACAGCACTCACCCTTGCCCTCATGACTGTGCCCATGGCCCTGATGAGCGCCATGACTGGGACCATGGGCGTCATGACTGTGCCCACCATCACTGCCATGAGCCTGGTGGCTGTGCCCACCAGCGCTGGTTCCATGTCCGCTCTCATCTTCATGTCCACCTCCGCCTCCACAGCACTCACCTGTGCTGTGGCCATGCCCACGGTCGTCCGCTCCACCGTGCGAGTGGCCGTGGCTGTCACTAGCCAATGCCTGGTGGACGTCGTCCTCACGGTAGGGCGAAAGACATGAACCCCTCCTCGGTTTTGCCTGGAAAATAACGGTTCGATCACCGTTTTTCCCCATCTGTTCTTTGCCAGTGGGAAAATCCAATTCCAAACAAAACGCTTCTTAAAGGATGTTCAAGGTTATCCACTGTTCGGTGGGAGGGAGTTCTTCAAGCGTCGACCACCGAACCCCCGAGCCATTGACCTCATATGCCTGTGTCTCAAACTCACTGGCCGAAATGTGTGGATGGAGAGTAGATGGGACAATCCCCCAAAGGCGGTGGTTTACATCGATCCTCGTCTGAAACACATGTGGAGGGTTAACTGCTGCAGTTGGTTCCATGCGCAATCTATGTCTACCTGCTCTTCGCAGTCCGCAATGGAAGCTCCTACTGGCGACTGCTTCTTGCTAGGAGGAGATCATTACCTTCCTCAACCAAGCTTGAAGAGTAGGTCGCAATGCCAGTAATTAGAGGCCTAAGCGGCCTAACTGCGTGTCAAGGTTGGATCAGTTCACTTATCATGCTACTTTGATGCTACTTTGAGGCAAGCACCACGTGCAGGCAAGCCCCGGGACTTCGTCGGCATCTCGGTCGGTGGGTCGGACGACCGAGCGAGCTACGGCGCCCTCCTTGGTGATGTCCTCAAAGGGCTTGAGGATCTTGTAGACGCCTGGTGACGCGAGGTCTGGTGAAGCACTTGGGACATCACGAGATCTGGCGCTTGAACCGCACCGAAACACGTCGAAACACGTCGACGTTCGCCTCGCAAAAAACACATCAAAACACACACCGGAAGCGAAATCCTACTCGGCATCGAGTACGGAGTGAATTCCTGAAGTCCTGGGGAACAAGTCGGTGGGTTTGCTGAAAGAATGTGTATTGATAGTATAGAAGAGTCCTCACGGGGGCATGCCTGGCTTTTCATGGCCCGCTTTTGAAGTCAGTTGACTCCTTCTACTTGGTGGAATGGGCTTCGTCAAGCACAATGACCCTACAAGCTGAAAACTTTCCATCTTCTCATTTTGGAGCTTTCCAGAAAAGCATGGAACATATCTTAGAGTAACTATATATAGTTCCTCACTTCTTAGTCACTTCTTCTCGACCCTTTGCGTCTTCTCTCTCCCCCCCTTTTTCACCACGGCCCAATCCGCTCAGCTCGCGCCGCTCGTTTTGGCCCTGGCACCTGCGCCGGGACGGGGCATTTTGACGCTGAGGTCCGTGAGGACGGTCTCCACGGGTGGGCAGCCCTCCTCAGGGCAGCGCACCTGCGGACGGAGAAGCGGCGGACTGGACACCAGGCGTTGGCCGGATGGTTGTGGACTGGGGAGAGATCTCATTGTGAAACATGGAGCGGAAGTGTGAGGGAGGTGTACATATGTTGCAGCATGGGCCCTCCCTGTCCTTGTATATCTTGGAGTTCTTGCAGGCACCTGCAAGAAACGACACTTCCCCATGTAGGATTCTGCGCTTCTTCTCATCTGGACTGGTAGACCATTCTTGGGGACGAACCAATTCTTTGCTGATATTTTTTCTCATGGCGTCGAAAACCCGGGGCATCCGTCAAGACATCACCCACTTCCCCTCTCCGCTTCCCCGTGGCCTGCGAAATGGACCAGGTGGTCTCCTCCGGCGTCGCCGGGAGGATGCCCAGTTGGACGAACGGGACATGGCTACGGCCGGTTTGCCGCCTGAAGGCGTGCACTATAACTGGTTCAATACCCATGGTGTCATACCATGGTCTGACCGTCAGTCGAGGAGTTGGATATGTATATTATATATATATACCCGACTGATGGGACTGCCATAGGACTGCCGATCCATTGACCCCTCTGGCACCACCCCAATTGATCGGCAGTCCTATGGCAGTCCCATTAGTCGTGTCTGGGATAGGCAATTATAGATCATGGAGTTCCTTAGTTCTATTCCAAAGTGTGCTTTCTTCAAAGGTGGAACTGTTGTGTGAGACTTCGTGCGGCACGTATCCGTAGACTTTTTCTTGTGTCTTTATCAAGTGTTCCTCTCCCCAAATGACTTGCCACCGTTTTCTTTCGAACAGGGGCACTCCAGGTACAGCCATGAGGGCACTATCCATGCGCCACTGGTTCCTGGTGGGTCAGACCGTAGTACTCCATACATCTCCAGACCGGTTAGACCGTGAAAAGCACGAAACGCAACAAACGCAACGTACAATTTGGAAGCTTGTGGTACGGCATAACATCAAGGATTCGCTGGTCAAACATCTAGTGACCCAGTGCCTGAAAGATGCTTCCGTTTCCTTGAGAAAGGCATCTCCATGCAACCGGTGAAGGATGGAACTGAACTCCCAGGCTGGAATTCTGTGGGTGGGTCCCCAAAGATTCACCATTACCAGTGTATCACAATATGATATACATATATATATATAATAATCTATGATATAAGTTGCAATCTCTAACGCTATCGGGAGCAGGTCAGGAATCGGCAAGACCGGAATCTCAGCTAGCACCGGTATCGGGGCATCATCCCACCCATGAATCTCGCGCCGGATTTTCCCCCCCTCTCCTTCCCCATGGCTGCATAAATCTGGTCGGCCCATTCCTGGGAGACAGTCTGGAGCCATATTTTCGCTCAGTTCATTTGGTATCACAAGTTCCTGGGTGGTTGGTTACAGTAAATTTAAATTTAGGATTGAATATGATTCGAATCTTGTGTTGATGTGCAGAAGATCTGATGCAAACTGACCGTAGTCGCTCTGCAAAGAGACCCAGGAACTGCTGTCGTGTGACGTGTTAATAGGGAAAGGTCGTTCCAGTGTTGTCTAAAGGATCGGAATGAGTTGTTACACATGGAAGTGGGTTCCACCCACAGACTGTTTGTAAATGAGGAGGGGTTTTGACCCGGATCCCCAACAATAGGTTGACCGTTACGTCGGTAGGTCAACCGTACGTCTCAGGTTCTTGGCCACGAGTCCGGAGACCGGAACAGCCAAGCCACCCAGAAACCAAGATCCTCCGGAAATGACAGCAGAACCAATTCCAGCAAATTCATCATTATTCATCCCCCCCAAAATGCTTGTGTTCGAAACTCTTGGATCTCAGGATGTGTTCGGTTCCTCAGGTCCTCAAACCACCCAACCCGACTCCGTCACTCGGTCCCTGCGGCTCGAGGCTCTTCGATCTGTTCGGAATCCACCATCGGCGGAATCAGTGAAAACACAGCGACCCAACCGGAACCTCCGGCACGTCGTGGTGTTCATCATGCGCGTTTGCTGGTTGTTTTAGCTTCAGCACGAGTCTGGGTGTTTGAAAACCATTTTCAGCCAATGTTGCTCGCTTGAAGCAACGCGCCTGCTTGAAGCAAACAGCAACGCAGCATGCACCGGACTCCGAACTTCGAACATCGCTCAGACGGGGCGTCAAACCAAGGCTTCCGTCGGCTTTCAAGGCTTCCAGGGCCTGCGAAAAGCCAAGTCCTGGTGGATGACCAGCCACTGATTGCAGTCTCGAGATTGCCCCCATTCCCCCCAGACCTGTGTGGAAGCATCGACGCAAAGACTCACAGGATCTCATGGGCGGTCCGGCGATTTGTCCAAGACGAACGCGTACGAAGCTCGTGCGACTTCGGTACGAAGCTCGTTGCTGTGGTGGTCGCCTGCGGCGGTGCGCACGCTGCGAGGTCCGGACTGGACTCCCCGTTCGGCCTGGCACGCGGCGCATAGGGCTCAAAGCGACCTCGGTTTTGAGCCGCTGGCGGTCGGCTCAGCTGTCGCGGAGCGACCGTTCGGAGCGAGCGGTGGATGGTTGGAGAAGGGTGACAGGGATTGTCAGGTAGTTTGATCAGTTGGTAGAGGAAGCCAAGAAGGACAAACAACTCGCCATTGTCCCAGGTCGGAAAATCCATGATATTCCGGGACTGGTCGAAGGGAATGCACATTCTTCAGGGCTTAAGGACCTGCATGGTTTTCTTCTCTGGAACATGCATGCAAGCATGCAAGCGCCCCGCAAACAGAGTAAATTTTTGAAGAAGCAAGGTTGAATCATGGTTGATCATGTTGATAGCAAACCTGAATGCATTTTGGGAACACCTGACTGCCCACGATTCTGGGGGAACCCCCTTTATATCGTTTTCCCCAATTATGCTGGAAGACTTGTGAAGACTTCGAGGCTCGGATTGGAAGCAACGACTGAGCTTCTGACGCCGGGCCCGTAGAGAGCCACCCTGTGGGCCCGTCCAGGCCTTGGAAGTCACAAGACATTGGGATGGTGTAGTCACATGTAGCTAGATGATCTTAGATGTTAGAAGTGGTCTGGGAAAGTCTCAAGTTTAAGTATATATATATATATATGATGCAGTCGTTTGTATAAGTGCATGAGACATGACATATCTTGCTTGTTCCGGTTTACCAGGATTCATACTGCAGCCATCCCTGTGTCACCGTCCTGTCCCAGCCTGGCTCCTTCCTGGTCGCTCGTTCCACGGCCTCGTCACCCTGATTCGGACCGCTAGCAAAGGCCAATAGCGTCCAAGGGCCAGTATTTCATATCATTTGTATATGGTATGGGCATGGTATGCATGGTGCAGTCTTTTGTCTTCCTGGCGTTTCACCAAAGAGGCTACCAGGGAGTTTCTGGGTTTCCGTCGAACTGCTTCTTTCATACACAGGCTCCATGTGCAGCTTCAGGAGATGAACACTTCCAGAACATGGGGGGTCTTTCATCATTTTCATCCGCAACACCCCGACCAAATGCTTGCACCTTGGCCGATTTTTTCGATTCATCCCGACCAGTCAAGCTCTAAGCCCCCTGCTTGGCAGCCACATGACCTCAGCGGTGGATAATATGACACCACATGTGAAGGGTGAAGGATCGTGCAATCTGATTCGGATGATGAGGACACATGTTGTACTGGCAAACTTGTCCCATCAAACCTTTTGGAAAGGGATTTGGATTGTGTGTCTCGTCCAAAGCTGAATGCTCCACGAAGTCTAGCTATCAAACTGGCTGTAATCATATGTAATTAATCATCATCTCCCAATGATAGCACATGACCAACAAAACGTGCTAATATATAACTTTTGGGAAACAATTGCCAACACTTGAGAATTCTATATCTGCGATTATCTGCGTAAATGAGACAGTGCTCGTTGCAAAGAAAGCAGGTGATTTGGGGGGCTTCTGTCCCGATTCTGCCACAGGAAGGCTAACTCATTTAGATATTGGCCGTCAGGATTTATTTTTGATTGCCTGATCGACTGGAAGCAAAAGCAGTCGCCACAAAGAGCGAAAGCAGTCGCCTCAAAGGATTCCTCAAAGGATGTGTGAACCGTCTTCGCTTCGTCGCCGAGTGTCACCGAGCGTGTCGCCCTTCGTCGCACCGACGTGGCGGGGCGGAGGTACAGAGCTCAGCAGAGCGAAGCGAGGGCGTCTCTACCGCACGAGTGGCGCCGAGTACGCGAGGTTTCCTGTCTTTGCAAAGTACCGGGACTTCAACATCCCCGGCTGTAGCTCCCAGAGGGGGCTGGCCACCCAAAATATTTTGGGTAGCCATTCCATTTTGACTACCAACCGGGGATCTTCAACGATCATTGATGAACTTTGGGAACTGCGCGGGGCCAATGCGGTCCATACCTTCGAATGCGCCATCGGGACCGGAAGGTCCCGGATGGTCCCAGGAAGGTCGGAAGGTCCAGTCTCCAGCGAAAGGGTGGGAGAAAGACTCCAGGATGAGACTCGCAAGAAGACCAGCCCAAGACTAACCCCCCAGAAGTGTCTCATTGGCAAAGTGGTACTATGTGTCCTGACCCTGGAGCACTGCCCCCGACTTGTTGTGTGGAATTGCATTATCAAGAATGTTGGACCTCAGTTTCCTGGCTACATGCGTGTCGCGCCGCGTCAGAGCGACCCTTTTCAACTGAGCATCTATCCACCTACGGCTGGTGCTGGATCAAACGCTGCGAACCTGATCTTCTGTCAACTTCTTTCAGTTGCTCTCCAATGAAGCACGGGGTCTCTGTCCTCCTCCCTTCTTTCTTCGCATTCTTTGGCAACAAAACGCGTGGAACCATCATTGTCCTCAAAACGGAGCAGGTTTCCACATCATCAAACCCTCCTGGAGGGCCAGAGTGTGTCGGGTCAAAGGCCATATAAAGTTCTGCGCGCAAACGAGGCTTCTTGTTGCAACGAAGCGCACGGTGGCCACAAGACGCGAATCGCCAAAGCCGAACAGCCAAGACCTGAGCTCAAAACCTCTGATGAACAGGGACATTGTTGATGGCTTTGCTGCATATTTCAATGAATATAATATACTTGCAGTATCCAGTTGTTTATTTAACCCACCCCTCAGAACTCTTGGTTCTAATCCGAAAGAATAAAAGTCGTTTCGGCCCATGGTGTCCATTGGCGAAATTGAACTCCCCCATGCTCCACTGGATCATGCAGGCGACGGCATGACGTCAGGGAGGCCAGAGAACGGATGAAACACTTGGAACAAAAACACATGTCTGGAGTCTGGTGATGACATGCTTCTTGCGTGTAGCTTTTTGGGATTGCAAGCTTTGCACCCATTTGTGTCAGTTTGCCTTTTCAATGTGGAGAGGAGAGGACTCTAAGGAAAATGTTCAAACAGTACAACTACGCTAAGTAAGGCACCAATGTGAGCCTGATAGCTGCTGATGAGGGCCAAGTTGTTCCAATATTGGTGAGTGTCACACACACACACATCAACAGACCTGAACACGGGAACTGTTCAAAACAGTACAGTGGCAAGGTGCGATTGTATATATATATATACCTGGAACCCAATTGACCTCTGTTTTGATAAGAACAAACATATTTTGGGTGGTTCGTGGTCCAAAATAGAGGTCATTCAGGTTCCAGGTATATATATATATATTGCTTCGTGTTGATCTTCCAAGAATTAAACATGATCACAAATGTTGGAGGGCCTGTAATCCGTCTGCAGAACATCGGACGAACAAGCGTCTAACCATGGCAACATGGTGGCAACTCCGTGGCACCTCGACCTGTTGCCACCATTGCAACTGTGGTTCAAGGATTGTACAACAAAGGCATATATACCTTGTCTGAAGCTTCCCCTCATTCTGCAAGAAACTGGCCACTGGAAACCTATACATCTTGAAGGAAGGGTTGCACGCGTACGGTGCAAACATTCCATGCTCATCCAAGTTCTACTTATTTGACTCGTCCTCATCGTCCTCCAGGCACCCTCAAATTTTGGTGTCAGGACACTAGATCTTTCCTCACACCCCTGCTACGCCAGCAGGCGATAACCCTTTGTTGAGAGCTCTTTGTAAGCTCCCCAGTTAAATGAGTTCAGGACCTCAGCAAAATGAACATGTAACATGGAAGATGCCGCACGCATGTGATTTGAGAAGCTGTATACGGCTGTTTCATCCAGCCGTTTCCTCTTGCTGGAGTCTTGTAGCTGTGCCAAGGGGGGGTTCTTTGGCGTGTTGCTCTTGGCACTTCAGCATGCCACGCAAACATCCAATTCGGGTCACGAGATCCACGGGCATGGATGCTGACTCGACAGCGATTTCAGCTGCCAGAGTTTCCAAATTGCGGGACAGAAAGGGCTGGGTCACCACAGACTTCACCTAAACTGGTGGCTTCTCCTTGCGGTGGGGCACACGGCCCATTGCGCGAGCCGCGGAATGGGACAGCATGGCCAAGTCATCAGGATCCAAAGGTCTGATCCTATCGATGGTTGGGGTTGCAACAAGCCACCCAAGGGTGTTTAAGGCACTTCAAGCGCCCCAACCGGCGAAAGAAACTCGAGTGCCACAGGAGCCAGGCTCGTGCAAACCATCTGTCACCAAGGTGAATTCCATGGCGACCTATCATTGGCGTTCGTAAGAGGATGCAAGAGGGCTCCTTCCCAAGAGTGCATAGGCTACTTCTCCCACTCCTGTCGACTCTCCAGCCCTTCCTGTCGAAAACGGCATCCCTTTCAAGCAGTCTCAGGCCCTTCAGGCGTGTCAGGCAAAGCCTCGGCCTGCTCAGAGACTAAGGAGAGCTTCGCGCTGGACATGCTGGAGACCCACGCCTCACGCGCGCGGGTAGCGCTTTGGAGCCCATGTCTGAGAGTGGCGCTGCCATGTCTGAGATACAAAAAGGGGTGTGACATGGTGTGACACACCCAACATGGTGTGTTGTTGATGTGGAATTTTAATCTTGTGGATAAGTTTGGATGATGCAGGATTGCTTGATTCTTCCCCATCATCTACTGTACCTCTAACAAGGTACTTGTCAGCTCGCCCTGCAAAAACACCAACATATTCAGTAATGCATGTACAGCACATGTTTCCAGCTTCTCCAGGACATGGTGAGTTTTCTGCTTGTTGATCCTCCGCACCTAGGGTTTGAAGGCTTTCATTTTAGATCTCGCTGACCCGAGTCCGGCATGATCCATGCCTCGCCTGAACAAACTCGATCGACTGCCTGCTATTTAAGCTTTTGGGGGGGACACCTGGCCTGAGAAGAATACTACGATGAAGGGCTGGTCTGAGCAGGTACCTTCCGGAGCTTTTGAGCCTGGCCAGCCTTCTGGAGGTTTTGAGCGGAAGGGGGTGTTCAGCGGAGCCTAGAAGGAGGACCATTCGCAAAGTTTGGGAGTTTGGAGTGTCCTTCCAGCTCCTTACTGAACAAGAATGACTGTAAAGAACTACAACAGTCGAAGCGTCTCAACAGATCTGAGTTGAGGATTGCAACATCTCCGCTGAACGCATGCCCAGGTGGCACGGGATGCCCAGGACTCGACAGAAGGTGCAAGGACCTCCCAGGTTCCTTCAGCATGAATCATGAATGGCGAAGGAACTAGCCTGTCCACCGAAAGCACCGTCATCCACAAAAAAATGAGAAGTTTCACGCGTCGTCCGCTTTGGTTCCAGGGTTTATATATGTTGATGAACTCGGGCCATTGACACATATCACTGTCAAGGTGCACTTCACACCTTTTTACCCCGAACTCTCATCTTTGGTCCTTGCGACTGAGGAACCATCATGGGGATCCCACACTTGGCGAAGACATCGGCGATGGCATAGCCCGCGATCTGACCAGCGAGGGTGGGCATTGCGACACCCCAAATCAACCAACAAAAAGCGGCGGAGGCCTGGGGAAAAGGGTGTTCAATCTTATCTGTCTTCTGTTTACTTAGAAACTGTTTGGGGAGGCGGAGGCCTGGGCAGGGTGTTCAGAGTTCTCTCTTTACTTAGAAACTGTTTGGGAAATCGAAAAAACGTGTGGACTGTTTCAGAGCCATGTCTTTTTCAGGTCCCGACCACGTCACTCTGACAGGTGGACTAAATGTCAGGAAGAGTGCGAGGGCAGAAGACCCCAAGATCCAGGCAGTTTGAAACCAGTCTTGAAGGCGCCACACAACTCCTGTAAGGAACATGGCGGATTTGCCAAGTCTTTGCACCCCCAACGGCCGAAAAAGGGTGGACAACGCCCACACGTGTTCTGCACCACTCTGAAACCGTCGACCCCACCCGCCTCGATCTCTTCCGGAAAGGTCTTGGTGCCTCGGCAGCGGAACCAGCCCGCTGAACGCTGACGCCGTAAACGGGGGCCGGTGCTGCGGCGGAACGGAACTGGACGTGTGGTGGGGAAGAAGCCGTAGGGGTGACCGAACGGGGAAGGTGCCGTACATACCTTGGTCAACAGGAAACGGGGGCCGAATCTCCGAACTTCATGCATCATAGAGCCGGATCACCACTTAGAAACTATGCCTGGACTATTGCTGTGGAGAATCACGTGACAGAATCTGAAGCGTAAGAGTCAGACTATGGGCCAATTGCGATTAAGCGAACGACCACTTAGACATTGATGTCAATAACAAATATGAAGAACCGGTCGCGAATTCGTCATGGCAAAGGAGAAATCATTCCAAAGCTGGTCCCACAGTGGCAAGCACACGTCAACGTCTGTGACCATATTCTGAACCGAAGAAACCAGCCCTAAGGATCAACCCAAAGGTCACGGAAATCATTCTCCCAACTTTGGTTCCTTCGAATGAACGTCCTTCGAACAACTTCCACTTCGATGACGTGCTATGGAAGAAGCCTGGGCGACGCCCAATACCCCAATCGCAAAAAGAGAAGTAAGAACTCCAATGGCTGAGACTGGACTTTTTAAAGCACTTCTCCTCACGCCCTCATTTCCTCATCCCGGCCCACACGCTTTGGGCGTGCAACCTGCAAGTCCCTGTTCGATCTTCGGTTTTCTTTTTGTGCCAAGGATCATTCGCACAACGCGAACATCACGGGGTACATGCACCAGATCTCCGCCTCAGTTCTCCATGGAGAGCGCAGTTCGGGTTTGACGAAGAAAAAAACGACGGTTGTTCGCACTGCCATGGGGTTGCTTTTGGATCCCAAAGGGCAAGTGTAAGCGAAGTGGGCATATTCTTGGAATTTCTGGAGTGCTATAATAATGCTTATATATACATCTTGACTTGGTCTATCCACCTCCAAGTTCGCCAATACACAGGAGTTGAAACTGCTCAGTAGTTGAAGGGGAACAACATGGCAACTGCGCCACGGTCTTTCCAATCCTCAATTGAATATGCGAGAATCAACCAAATACATGGGACAAATGGTCCGTCCCCCCCGTCAAAATAAACTGTCAAGGAAACGTGCTTATATAAGTCCCTCCCAACAAACGAGTGAATGTTCAGGTCCATCTGTTGTAAGTGGTGGTCCATTTTTGATTTCTGAACAACTTGTGCGGAACTTTTCTAGCTGGGACTGTGGCAGCAGGTTGAGGTGCCCTGGCCCAGAGTTCGGTAGGATGGGTCGGTAGCAGTTGCGTAAGCCCAAATGCCAACACAAGCCATCCAAGAGGAAATAGCCTCAGGATTGAGTAGAAATGAATAGACGTTTTCCTGATGCCCTACATGCAGGATGCATAAACATACAGCTACATATAGATTCATCATCTCGTTGTTGTTTGGTTGGTCTGGTCTGTTGTTGCGCTGGTGATTTCCATCACTTGCTTTCCCTGGCACCAGTCATATTCTCCCACTCTCGCCCCAAACATTGTTTCTGTCTTTATATATATATTTTTTTTTTAAAAGAAAATAATCTAGGGAACATCTGACTGATTCAAAGACATCTCGTTTGCATGCCACGGAGCGGTTCGATTGGCCACGAAGTTGAATAGAATCTGTGCTTCACCTCCTGCGAGGCAAAGAATTTCGAGACAAACATGGATGGCATGGGAACATCAAGGCGAAAAGAGAGGCATATGGCCAAGCCATGGCCAAACCATACCCAAACCCAACAAACATACCCAGCTGATCCCAGCTGTTTGTCTTTTTGACACCTGAGCTTGTTTGAATCCATGCACTGGACCATGTTATTCATGGCATATCAGTGATATCAGCGTACGTATCACCAAACAGTTCGACATACAACCCACCAAGAGCAACCTAGTCAAAGTCACAACTACTAAAATAACATATCACACGCGCCTGGGAAAGCTGGAGGATCCCTTGTTTTAGTTGTCATTTGCTCTGTCATGCTCTGTCCATTCGCCCTGTCCGCGCTTTTGCCGACTCTTTTGGCTTCTTCGTTTCGAGAAAATGCCCTCCTCCCACCTTTCTGGTCACCTCTAATGGTCACCCGCACCTTTCGAAAAAAGGCGACAGATCGAGCGACCGGAGATTTGCAAGATGCAACTCCCAACCGCGCCGGGAACCGCGCCTAGCGCATTGGCCTGCTTCTGAAGGGAGGTAAAAAGCTTGGTGCCCACCACCGAGAAGCACAGCAGCCCGGCCATAAAGAGGGGCCATTTTCCTGCCCACTCAGCCCTTCAAACACAAAGATAGACCAGGCATGTCTGACTATTATATAAAGGCAAAAAAACTCTTCAAGGTTGATCCATTCTGGCTTATTGTGAGGGGGTTCAGCATGAATTTCAAGTCCAACAACCTATCTGCTGCTCCTTTCGAGCCAACTTTTACCCTCGATCGCCAGCTCTGCGCATGGCGTAGGCAAACCGTGCACGTTTTCTTCACGAGGACGTCCCCCCAAGAACGCTTCCCGCAGGAACAGGTCGAACGAAAAGGCCTTAAATCTGTTGAAGTGTCCAAAGATTGCATTTCTTCACTGAGTCTCGTTGCCGGTTGACATGAAACATCGTGAAACTATCATTGCATGCTGTGGCCACGCTTGCAATGCATGCAATGCATGTTGGGTGCCGCGTACGACGTTGGAGGCCAGCAAGGCTCTGAACAGATCGATTGGAGGTCGAAATCCGGGGGGCCCGGCCTTGGACAGAAAGGGAGGACATAATCCCAAAGGCCAACATGAACTCGTCAATGGCCTGAATAACCAAAGACTCTCAAAACGCCCGCCATGTCCTGAAAAACCTGTGAGAGACACCATGGGAACATCTGGGAACATATCGCAAGCAAAGAGATTACAAAGCGATGTGCAAGTCGTTTTTTTTTCATGATCAATTCCATCTCGACGCACATTTCCATCTCAATTCCATTCCAAAAGGACTTAGGTCTTGACGCTGGCAGCCTGTTGCCCCATCTGATGTCGGGGGAACTCCGGTGAGACGGGCTTCGAGGATCCCCTGCCCTGCCACTCTAAACACAAACAACCAATTCCCTTAGTAACCCGATGGAACATAACACAAGCTGGACATGAGCAAAAACAGCATGAACAAAAACTGAAGGGTCATCTTTAAGTACTGAGTGCCACCACGTGCCAACCTAAACTTTGACCACTCCCCCCCCATGTCCCGCCCGACGGTTGTCTGGTGCGAACAGCAGTGCGAGCGCACGTGCGAGCGGCAATCAAGGTCCAGGTCTGTGCACGGTGGGCGTTCGCCAGAATGCCCAGCTCGATGAGCATCAAGGGCGTGGTGAGGGTCCAATCCACATAGCCTCAGGTCCACACCCGAGCGAGGTGAGCGAGGCCAGGTGGCCTCCGACCGGATCGGCGATCATATGATTAGCTGGGTTCTTGATCAGCTCATATTCTTTGATGCTATTGTATGCTATTATACCGGCGGACTGAAAAATAGAATGCCAATGTGTTGTGCTCTATGGCTTAGAATGCCTACGCTGATTTAAACATATTTTAACACTTAGAATGCCTGCATTCTATCTTTCTGTCCGGCTGTGGTCATAATGCACTTATATGTGCTCAGAAGAACTCGCCTTTTCAACAAAACTTTTTCAACGCCTCATGCAGAGTTTGCTGCACATGGCTGCCCTTTAATTGTTGCATTCTAAGTATCGTTCCGTAATGATACCCGCGTACCCAGAGCAGGCATTCTATCTGTCAGTCCGGCGGTATATATGCTATTGGTGTGCTTCATTCTCACACGGGAGCCAGCAAGTTGGGTTCGGGACGCTGAGGGAAGGGCCCGGCCGCTTCCTCCATGGATCCCATGGTGTCATACCATGGTCTGACCGTGACCGTCAGTCGAGGAGTTGGATATGTATATATATATATATATCCCCCAAACACTCCATGTATGGCATATATACCTACATTGAACCCCCAAAACCACCCCAATGTAGGCATATATTCCATACATGGAGTGTCTGGGTATATATATATAAATATATATATATATGTATGTTTTCCTCTGGGAACATGGATGCGTTTCTGGGAACATGGACAGAAGACCCGTTGCTTCAGGGGGGCAAAACTCTTAACTCACAGTTTACTTTCCGAGTGAGCCGCAGAACAATCAGTAAGCCTTGTTCGAGCCTATAATGCTCAAATACGTAATTGCTTGTCCATCGCGTACTCTGAGGTTGACATGCTTTCAACCCGGTGGAATCTGGCGACCGGGGTCTTGCCACCGGCGTGGTGCACATGCAAAGGAACACACAACCGATTTCGCAGGGTTGGGAACATGTCTGTTCCGAACTTTTAAGTTGTTTTGTTGGGAATGGTGAGCCTTACTGTAAGCTTGTGAAGAGTCCCCAACAAACGTTCAAACCATGAAGGAGGGATTCAATGACCAGCACACCAAACACATCCAAAAACAAACGGAACATCATCCCCCTTACGCCGTAAACGCAAAACAATAGGTCTTTGAGTCTGAGTCCTCACGTCTGACGTATGTCGTCCGAGAAGCGAATCCAGTAAACCCGAGAGCCATCTGCCTCCTGTGGATCCAGTAGCTGATGGTGGCTGGGTGGGAAGGCGTTCTTCGGTCCCTGAATGCCCTTCCCAGGGAGCTACCCTGCCGCAGGGAGCTACGACCTATCACCAAACCCATGTGTCCATGTCGGCAGTCATGTCACCTTCCACGTCCGGAGGTGTATATTGCTTTTTTCTTACCTGGGTTCATCCTAGTGAAACTGTGCGATTGTGCCAAGATTATGTTTTTGCAGCCTTTCGCTTTGATTTCTGCTTTGTGGACACATTTTGGGAGGTCCGACGCGCGGACACATGGTAGACCTTTGTTGCTCGAGGAATCGAGGAAATGCAAACGCTACACTCGTCGCTGGTCAACAACAACAACAACAACAACAACCCTTTAAGTGGACAAATGCAATTTTTGGTGCAAGGTCATGACCATTTTGGGGGATTTATGACACCTGCAGCGTCGCGTTTATTTGTCATCAGCTTCTCTTCCTTCGTTCCCCGTTTTTCGGTTTCAACTAAGACTAGTCATGACTAGTCACTATACCATACGAATCTGGGCCCTCAGTCACAGCTTTTGAACTTTCCGGTGGGTCAGGTCCGACTCAAACCATGGAAAAAAATTCGATTCTCAAACGGGCATGAACTTCGTGTTGTGCTTGATTCTCCTGCCCTCAGTTCGTCGAACATACGGGTCGGTTTTCACAGAGACCGAGGCCGACGGCTGACACCGCGACCGACCACCGACGGGACGACCTCTTTGATGCCGATCCCCAAGGCCATGCAGAGATATGCCACGCCCGCGATCCCAGTGACCTTGAGATCGCCACGGTGGTTGGTTCCGTGGAGACCGTGAGCTCCCAAACCGGGATCCGGTTCCGGACTGCCAGTGGAGGAAAAGATAGGAAAAGGTATTTGATATCCAAAGAGCCAACCCTCCTCCGAAGAAAAGAACCATATGCTTGGCTTGGGGATGTAGTATATGATATATAGTTGGCGGTACCTTCCAAGAAGCCCACCGTTTTAGATGGGTTGTAGTCTTCGCCCGAGAAGCTTCATGCTGCCCGAGAAGCTTCTGAGGAGCCAGTGGGTGCCGTGCCGGAATTCCGTTCGAGTATTTTGACTTTCTCAATTTCTTGTTACTAGTAGTAAGAATGCTCCTAGTAGCAATGCCAGGAGCCCCTAGTAGTGTCCTTGCTCCTAGTAATAAGGCCAGGAGCCCCTAGTAGCGACTCTTGCTCCTTGAGCTAGGTCTGGTTCGACGACACTTGGGACGCACGTGAAAAACATAGAAAAAGGGCTGTCTGACAAGCAGAGTCCTCCGGAAGTGGGTGTGGCAAACTGCTTTAACTGAAGGGTACTACAGTTAATACAATGTTGGACATGACTCACCAGGTTTGCTGGAAAATAGTAGTCTTGTGGTTGCTTGTTTCAGTGAAGTCGTCCTTCTCTCCACCATTGGCCAAATTTTCGGGCGCACAAAGACCACGTAAGCAACATGTTAACTTGGCTTTTGCCTCAAATGTTGGCCAAAGAACCTCCCTTTAGCCCAAATAGTCACAACATGTCACAAGCAGGATGGTCAAACCATGTCCAACCTCAGATACATCTTTTGACAGCTCCAATGGCCTTGGTCCCGGTTTCGTCCTGTCCCCCATATCATGGCTGTTCAAGTTCTAGGTAGATGACATTCCTGATCGAAACTATGCCACACGTACACACACTCCCTCCCCAAAATGAACGTTAGGCTTTGGGCAACGACTGTCTGGAGGGGACCGCGGTAGTGTGGTTGGGAACTGTCTACTGAACCGTGCTGCCTCCATCTGAACCTTCGTCCGAAACATCTCCAAGGTCCTCACCTCATCGGATCCCAGAAATTCGGACTCCAGAAATTCAAGGCCTCCGACTCCATCCAGCTCCAAATCCGAGAAGCCAGAAGCGCGATCTTGTGAAAGTTCGTGGTGACCGGAGTGCTTTTCTTGGCCTCTTCGTGGCCGGATCTGGTGCCCCGGTCGATTTGGGCCAGTCCGGTCGGGCGAGGCCAAGCCTTTTAGGTGGTGGAACACTTGATCCTTTGTATGCCCCCAAAAGACACACTCAACCATCCTTTTGGAGGGTGGGGGCCACTTGAAGTACTTAATATGTTCCTCGTTTTGATGTGGGGCCGGGGGACTTTGCTTTCGGGTTACGGTTGCTATTCCAGCTGGTTCACAAGTTCGATACATTTTCGATGCAAGAGCCATCCCCAGCTCCACCTATATAAGTAGTCCGGATGTGACACACAGGGTTTAAAAAAACACACAATTTAACAAACAACAAAAACATATAATATATAACATTCTACACCCTACACTTGGTCCAACATTGGTCAAGCAGTGTGTCTCGCAGCACATCCGCTCTTTTGGGGTAGCACATCCTCGCCCATTCATGCTGAACAACTGACATCACTGACCAGTATTGACAACTCTTAGGAGCTGTGGGTCTAAGCACCTCGCAACTGCTGGCACAGCTAAGCATAGCTAAGCAACGAAGCTCATCATGAACAGGCTCACGAAGGAGAGGGCCATGAAGGCACATGTCAGCGACAAAACCTGCAATCCAGGGGCCGATCAAACTCCCACAAGGCTTTTGGGACAACTGTAGTGGTTGATCCAGTGCCGCCTCCTGAATGGCAAAGGCATGCAAAGGCCGTTTTAAGGTCCAAAGCAGGACTAATTTTGCAAGTAGTGCAACATTCCAAAGCATGCAACAATGGTGTTTCTTTCCCGAACGGGTTCCTGTCTTTGCAGGTCGCTTGACCTACCTACAGGTGTCTCACAGCAGTGCGAAGTTGGAGCTAGGAGACATCATTCTTGGACAGGAACAGCGAACGAACAAACTCAGGTATCTTCACCATACAGCACCTTGGTTCTTAGAAGCGGTTGCTTGCCGGACATGATTCCCAACAAGCATGCCGGACATCCTAGACCAAAGCATGCTTTCCCGACCAGTTGGTGCATGCCACGACCTCTACGACATCTTGACGCTGTTCGTCTCGTGGACGAGTCTGAAAATCATTTTGATCCCACACTGGTCGCCCACTCGTGCGACCAAGAAGCTGCTTGGCTCAAGGGTGGGACCACCATGGCGCGGCAAACCGCGAGCCAAGCGGTGTTCGGGGCGGGATGAGCCAAAGCTTGTCCCAAAGAGAAACATCCTGAGTCCCGGTAGGGTCAGGCCGGCTCGTTGGATCAAACCATGAAATCCCAATGGCAATCTGACTGCTGACCATGGCTCTGACCTGGCCTGACTGGTGTTTTCCAACCACCTCGCAAAATACATGCGTATAGGCATTGATTCTGGCAATCCCTTCCACTAATTAAAAATACGGGTTGCCCCCTTTTTGTCACGAGGGGTCCCCCAAATCGGGGGTATCCAAAAGAGGATGTATTTACACTCCCTGGAACTAACATGGAAGTGGAGAATGGCCCCGAAAGGAAGACCATGAAATCCACTACAAACAGGTGGTGAACTCCACTTCCATGTTAGTTCCAGCAGGGAGAGTATGCATTTAGGAACCAGGGGTTTCGGTCACTAGGGCGAAGAAGGTTTGGCAGTCCAAGTGTTGGGCGGACACACCAACCCAGGAGAGTGGACAGGTTCGCTTCGGCAGTCGGGTACGACGCTCCTCTAAGCCCCCTTCAATAGTTATAGCCAACGAATGGATTACCGATAGATAGGATCCAAAGGGCCACACACACAGTTCATAAGTTTCTGAGAGGCAGCCAGCCAGTCAGAGCCCAGCACCAAGCAGCACAGCAGGGTTAATTACATATATATATATATGTATGTATGTTATATAAATATAATATATATACAAATGTATTATGTGTAGCCGTGGCATGTTGGTAGGACTGGGGCAAGTGGATATCAATCTGCCTTGTCTTGTCTTGTCTTGTCTTGTCTGTCCGCGGAGTCGAGACTCGTGCCGGGGCCCCGCACATGGTTGAAGTGCGGGGCCCATAAAGACATGTGTGGACATAGAAAATCACGGCAAGTTCAACAAAAACTGATGCAAAAACAACAGCGGTGGGCCATGGAGCTTGCAACAACAGCTGGAAAAGGAATCAACGCCGACCCAGCGATCAAGTGGGGGTTCGATGGGGGTGCTCCGTGAAAAGAGGTCCCGTTTCTGCAGTGCCTATTTTAACCTACAGTAGTTGCCGGAGAAGAGGATTGGGTGGCGCAGCGCCAGACTTGACCTCACCTCCATCCCTGACAACAATTTAATTCAAAACTTCAGCAATCAATCTACCTAGACAAACAAACAGCCAAACAGTCCCGTAGACGGCCGAAACGAGAGAGGAAAAGACTGCCAGGGTGGACAGCCAGCATCGTTCAGGGTCGTTCAGGAACCTAATCAAAAATAACACCACCAAAATCACCCATGTTAGTAGTTTAGTAGTGGTTTAAAAAGGCGGCGGTAATTTAAAAGCAAACACGCTCACACACACACACACACTTATATAAACGTATTTAGGGGTCTCCGAAATGAGTTTTGCTTAATTGGATATATATATATATAGTGTCTTTGAAAAAGTACGTGAAAATCATTCACCCGATTTTGGACTGCTGGAGCTTCGTGGTTTCACCACATTTCAACTCTTTTTTAGCCTGGGATCACTCCAGGAGTTAGTCTTGAGGAGTGGTTTGCCGGTTTGCCTTTTCCGTGTTTTTCCAAACTTTGTCAACGCCATGGATCGGGGATGGACCAGGAGTGATCCGGCACCACATCCGATTTTTGGGTGGGGAGCACCAACAAGTCTCACCGGGGTGCGCCAGTCCCAGAAAAATGTGAACCCCGATCTGCGGTCAACTCACCATCATATCCTCTGAAGTTGAACACCTGAGCCTTGGCAAGGCTCATCTGAGGCCCCGGCCAGGCCATGGGAAGCGGCCCAAGGCGCACAAAAACCAGGTATAGGTTTAGGCGTTCACCGTGTCGCAGGTGTTATGCTGGGGATGGCCCTGCGGTAAACAGTAGTGTTTAGCATTGGGAAAAATACGAAGGACATCCAAGGACATCGTTTGGCCGAGCGGTTAGAGTTCAGGCTGGAGAGTGGTGTCCGGTCCGGGCTGCAAAGCGGTGCACATTGGCCTTTTACTGGCTAACAAAGCTCAGGTTCGAACAAAGCGTCAGAACACATATCAGAACAATGTTGGAACATATGTCAGGACGCATGTCGGAACACATGGAAGATTTAATAACAGAACAAGTACCATGACAGAACAATTGTCAAAACTCAAAACACATATCAGAACCGAAGCCGGGCCCTTTGCCTCGTTTCAGACCAAATGAACAAACGGCAGAACATCGTGTCAGTGCACATGTCGGGCAGCGCTTGTCTGGGTAGTCTATCAAAACATGTGCCCTGCATTCTTCCAAGTCGCCTCTTAGGATAGGGATCACTCCAAGCAAAACAATTCTGGCCGAAGTTATTCTTCCTTCAAACAGTCTTTTCATGTCCCTTTTCACTGCTGGTAGTGGGGCAACCACAATTACGACGTATGAGTTGGAACTTGTGACTTGAAACAAACAGCTCCCCAGTGCTGGCGAAGAATATCATCCCTTGTGACGCTCTGATCATGTTTGGTCAAACCGTAAGCCGACCAGCCGGAAGGCTGGCACACACCGGCTGGTTGGAGAGGGGAACATCAGCAGCTAGAAGTGGAGCAATTGGACTTGGTTTGCAACTCTCTTTTCTCGGTTTGCAAACCGCCTCGTGTTAGCAAGAACCTCCAATGAAGGCCTGAATCCCATGAATTTCATGAAACCTCCTTGCGTTAGTGTGAATCCCAATCCAATCAAAAGGCCTGGGCCCAGTGGTCCCTCTTTGCACCGATGGAAATGGCTACGTCCCATGCTACAACTCAAGGCCTGGATCAATCGCCAACGTCTGGTCGATTGGGAACCGGTGAAAGCCTGAAACAAACGAAAGGATCCAAAATTCATGCCCCAGGGTGAAGCTTTCGTCCGGAATTGAACCAGAAACCTCGGAAAAACCCTGCTAGCTGACGATCAATGAACATCCGAACGTCCAACAGTGATCTTCTCAAACCGACCATCAAAAAATGTCGATTCACCGAATCGGTACATCTGCTGAAACCGCCTTTTTCTCATCGGTATGAAGGTTTGGCGATAGAATCTGAACCATCGCGATTTTCCTCGCAAAAAATTGGTGACTTTCTATGCTGTCAGGCAGACCAACAAGTTCAAGCTGCAACAAATCGGTCTCGTAGCGGTTGACCCTGTTTCAAGTGGAGCACGAAGAGAGGCCAGTTGTGATTTGCCACCAAGAGAGAGGCCTGAACAGTACCAATCCATACTACGTTACATGATGGCACTATACTTTCTACTAAATAGGTTTGTATAGTGGGGTCCCCTACTCATGTGTACTGATGTACTGATAGGTTGTTGCTACACTAACTACCGTACTGTGCCCCAAAGGCATGTGCTTGATAGGGGCGACTTCATCGTCCACGACCAGTGCTGGGTCGGCCAAGGCGCTAAAAATCGACACCCAGCGATTTCGAATCGACGCATCTTGGTAGGAGGTCTTTGGGTGGTGATCATTGGTGAGAGGCCTTTGCACTAGGTTCCGATGAGTGGGGTGAAAAGCCTTAGCCTGAGACTTTGTGCTTTTGCCACCACAGCTTTGGCACTGTGAGACATTGTGCTTACGTGCCGGCCTTGCCTGAGCAACACACAAAGTCTGTAACATTAAAATCCTAGAACCAAACTCGGCACTCGCCTGATCTGCAGCTGATGCTCCATCTCACTGGGTATTGGGAACATGTATGAACATGCGCCAAACTGCTTTTTGGCAAAACCGTGATAGCATGTGATAGCTCATGGTAACGAGTTCCTGAGCACGTCGCCTGAAGCCAACTGTAAATGCGCGAGAAAAGCCAACAGCAAGTGAAAAGGACACCACACACAATCTGACGTTTGAGAAAGGAAATCTAAGCCAGCAAAGGCTTGCTTGCTGATGCTCTTTCTTTTCCGGGGAGACCAACCATCTAACAATCTAACCATCTAATAATCTAACATGAATTCGACACCTGAACTCTTCTGTGAAAGAAACAGGGTGACATTGGGCGTCATGGATGAGTTGATGCAAAAGAATTGGTCTCACAAGGGGGTGTTTCAAACCCATTCTTAACCCAAGCTGTTCAAGTGGCAGGGCACATGGATCAAAAGACTTTACCCAAAATGGGAGTTCCCAAACCATCTGCACTTAGTACAGCAGTTATAGAAAGCCAATCAGCGGATGTTGAGACCTGATTATGGCTTTTGGAACTAAACTCAACCAAATCATGGAGCAAGTTGCAGCTGCGCGACTTGCGCTTCAAGGGCCACAGGCCCTTGCAAGTAGTGCTAGGTAGACACGATGGATCGCATCATATTGCGTCCAGCCGTCCCACCCGGCTGATTTAAGAAACTGTAGAGCGCCCCTGCCATGGGCTGAAGGTTGAAGGAAAACAACAACGACTGGCGTGTTTAGGCATCGACTCTGAACTGCTCTTTGCACAAAGGGCAAGTCTGGCTCCCGGTGCGCAGCCACTTTGAGACGCATGTTTTATGAAACAGGTGGCCGCAGGGCAGCTTCACTATTTGGGAGCCTTCCTCCATCTCCTCCAAACAAATGGAACATTGGCCTGCACCGGTGGCGACCTCGACATCACTCAAGAGCGCACTCACTGCAATCCACCTCTTCCTCTCTCGATGTTGTTGACGCAATGCGACATATGTTGCTCTCTGCAACGGCGTCAACAATGAAGAGAGTGTCATCCTCCGCGGTCAAAGCAACACCGCTTACTCCCCCAAAAGGATGCACCGTGGTCCCTCAACAAGGGGACACCGAGCACCATTACCATGCTGGTGGGGCTGGGGCACCCCGTGCACTTCCAAACGGATGGCACCTCCGTGTTCCGCAGCTACCTGCCACGTGCACACCCGACTGGATACCTGGACCGTCCGTCACCCGTTGATTCTGGTGAGGCTCCGCTGATCCAAGTGGTGTGGATCCGAGTCTGATTGTCAAGCCAAGTGTGAAGTTCAAACCCTGGAACTATCTGCGACCTTTTCCAATGTCTCCAAGTCCAGTTGCTGCTTACTGCAAGTAGTGTGGCGCTGTTGATCTAAATGTGCGCCTCCAGGTGGCTTCTTTCTCTCTCTCTCTCTCCCCCTCCCTCTCTCTCTCTCTCCCCCTCCCTCTCTCTCTTTCTCTCTCTCTCTCTCTCTCTCCCTCTCTAGCTTTCAAGCTTCCTGACCCCCGAGTGAACTCCAAAAACAGGTTGCTGCATCTCTGTTTCATCGGCTGGTGCTTTGGGAACACTAATCACAAAATCCGCACTATATATTTCACCCGTGAAAAGGACCATCCAACCGTCCAACACCTGAAGAGCCGAAGCTAAGCCAGCTGGCCACCTGAACCACGAAGAGCCGAGCATCTCCACCACGTTTGCTGAGCGCAACTCTTCCATCATCTCATCACTCGTTTCACGGCCGTTCACCGTCAAAATGGCATACGCTGGCCAAATGCGAAAGTGTGGGTCTGGGTGTTCTCTGTGCCATCGCGCTATGGAGGGAGAATCCTCTCACGAGGAGGTGGTACCAGTGTACAAAACAAAAAGGCACAAAGGACCCGAAAATGGACCCCCCTCACATATGCAAACTACACCACTTGTAAGGACCCAAAGGTCACGCGTAAGGACGGAGGGGATCTCGAGAAAACACTGGGTATACCATGATGTTCTACTGATTCCCTCAGTTTCACTGGAAAGTAGAGGTTAACCTTTTTTCCACCAGTTCTTTTAAACGTGGGGAAACCAGAATCCTCCCAAAAAGCGCTGCAGGATATTTTTTTGGATGCCCAAACGATCCCAAACGTACCAAATGCAATCGGAGCAGCTTGAAGCAGTGACTGGATGAACAAACCATCATCTGCCTTGCCTTACGTGTCCAAAGTCTTCAGAATTGAACAAGTCAAGTGGAAGATGCTGCCAAAACTGACTGATGCGACCAGTAGAGTCTGTAGAGAATGAGGGATGGCTGGCCCCCAACATGAAGTCATCTTCGGATTCTGCCATCTAAATTCTCTACCTTTTTTTTACACCAGTCCTTCGACCAAGTCGCCAATCTCAAGACCCCACGATTCTGTGCTGGATTCACGCCACAGCATGACTTCTGTGCGTTTCTCAAGCACCAAACGCTGGTTGAAGAAAGCGGAGCAGTCCGGGAAGCACACCATGGCGCTTCAGGCCAAAACACGCGACCTACTTCCAGAATGTGTCTTCATCTTCCGTGGATATCTGCAGTTGCTTACCTGGTGCTGAACTTTCAGAGCAGCGTCGCAAGTCGAACACAGCAAGTCGAACACATCGAGCTAATCAAACTGACAGCCGAAAAGCCACACAACCATGATTCCCAAAGGCCACAGCCTGGTCACAGGTCCAGATTTCTGGTCATCAAAACCATGAGGAGTAAAATCATGAGGAGTTTCCTTGGTCCCCGTGTAGGGAGTCAAACCCTGTCAACTAGGGTAAAACCTCAAAGTATGCATACATAGAAGAAAACATATTATATACATATATTAATAGGTGTTAATTACGTGTATATTCAACTATGTACATAAATCTGCATAGGTGTATGCATATATACAAATTCATACGTACATATATATATATATCATTATATATATATGTCATTATATATATATATATTATATCATATACACGCATCATTACAGCAAACCCGGATCTAACTCCGCTGTTCAATTGGTCCTGTTCATTTGGCTGGCGCCATCAATGTGGTTTCACTTGGTGCGTCTGTCCCAAAATGATGAGTGTTTCGTACTCGCGTCTCCCGTGCGGCGGCCCGTCTGTCCCAATCCATTCAAAGCACAGCGAGGCGCGACTGGTGCAGCTCCGCGACTCTGCGACTCGTTTTTTGGGCGTGGCTTGCACGCAAGGTGCGGGTCTTTCTGAAACGGCTCGGCAGGGCTTTGGTCCAAAAATGATACAGGCCTCGACTGATGTAGATGTCAAAAGCAAACCCATGCAGATCCAAGGTGCAAGACTAAGAGATATACCCGCACATCTCGGAATTCGTTCGCTGTGACCGCCCTGCCAGGTTCGCGAAAATGGGCCCCGACCAAGGCCGTGGTTGGAAAGCCTGTTCGGTCCGAACGTGAAGGACCCGACCAGAGCCAGGCTACAAGTAGACGGTGCAGTGGATAGATCCTATTAGTCCGTCAGGGAAGGACAACGCGAGCGTAAGTAAAGCAAAGGTTCCTGGAAAAGTGTCTCAAATCAGGAGGGATAATCCATGATAATCCTATATGCTTCTGACAACCTCAAAGGTTTAGTCCCAAGATTGAGTTGAAGCATTGCACAACATGGACCATTCATTTAATCTATGTCCATATATATATATATATATTCATGTTCATGCCGTTCTTGACTCATGTCAAGCACGTGTCACATCACTCGCAGATGTCAGGTCGCCTCCCCCCAAAGGAACACATGGAAGCCGGCGAGGACAAGTGCCGTACAAGGACATCTTGGGCAACGGTTGTGCCATAGTTTCTTTAACAAGCACGTCAGTCTTTCAGTCATCAGCATCAGTTAGGGGCATCCAGCATGTCTCACAAAAAGTGCTTGACATTCGGAGGAGCATTGTAGTCGTACCCCCTATTCCCTTATCAATCCTTATCATGTTACTGTAAATCAACATCTGTTTATAGCGTTTGCCGAGATGCACATCATGCCGAGATGCGGCATCCCACCACCACCTGTAAGGGGGTGGCCCTTCGCATGCTTGGACCTCGGACACCTCCAACCACAGTCAGGGCGAAGATTGCTGGCATAAACCGCTGCATGACATGGAAAATCGCATCAAGGGGTTCCACCATGTTCCATTCCGAAGGACCGTTGGGGTGATCCAACCCGACGGTTTTGGACCACGAAAGCGCCGCTCTTCGAAGCACATGGAGCCGCTGGTTCCCCCAATTTGGCCCATTGGATCGACGGCCGATTCCTCGGTGCATGGTGGGTGGAGCTCTCCCGAGTTCGGCCTCCGCGAACGAGCCGATCTGGGGGAGTGAAGGCATCCGGAGTGAAGGCACACCCGAGGTCCGAAAAAACCCCCGTTCTTGTGCTTGCTGAAACGATCCCCACCTTCCGCGCTGGAAAGGGGTGGTGTAGGGGGCAGGGCCGAGGCAGGGCCAATGGGCAGCATCGGACTGAACGAATAGCCACTGATCCCTACAGTGTCTCGCCGATCCCTGCCGCGAGGTTCTAGTGTTCATCTGCAGGTCAGGTGCCGAACAAATAGAGGAATATATACATCATTATACATCTGTTGGTACAACCTCTTCGGCCTTGTCGACTCGAAGCTTGTCGACTTCTTCAGTTGCAGGTCCTTCACCCACATTCTCTGGCGCTGTCGCAAACACCGATGGCATTCACAACGACGCACTTCGATCAGTTGGCATGCCGCAGCCCTGCACAGACCTGCGCAGCCCTCAGAGCTTGTACTGCACGCCCGTCAGCTTTTCTGACTTGGCCCACAGCTCCTGGAGAAGGGCGCCCAGGAAAAACAATAAACATACATGACCGTTGGCTAAAGGAGTATTGGATCCGTGCATGTCCGTATTTTTTCCAGTTGTACAAGCCCAATCAACTAATTACAAAAACTAGAGCACTCCAAGCTGTCAAAGTTTCTCTTTTTGACATCCATGTTCCATCAAAACTGACTACTATAAATGTCTGGTGAGGTGTGGATCCAACACAAACAAATGGCCCGTCTAGGGGTACCACCAAGGAAATTCATCTGACAGGCGTTGGAAAAGCACCTTGGGTGAACATAGCAACTGACCACGGTCTGACTGAAGCAGCATGGCTTAACTGAATCAATGGTGCTCTTGCCGATCAAAGAACTGATGCACCACCAAACTGCATCTCTAACTGCATGTGTTTGCAGTGGCCCCCAAACGAAAAGGCTACAACAAACACAGGTTGAACAAGCACCGCGAATCGATGTGAATCCCCTCCAAACACGTCTTGGACACCATTTTCCGTTTCTCTTTGAGGTTTCGGTTTCAAGCAAAACGCAGGATGATCCACGGTCCACCCCTAAAGCCCGCAAAAAAAAGGTCACTTTCTTCGGAGGATCCGGAGAAACACGTGTTAAACTCACCGGCGACACATAAAGGAAAGACACAATCATACACCCATCTCAAGTGTCTTGCTTCAACTTAGGGATCAACTCCAAGTGGTCGAAAACCAAAAACCACTCGGATCAGAATATACAACATCGTCTTGGATTTGTGAGATTGCTCTCAACCTTCCACACCAAGCCCTGTGCAACAGCACCGCATTTTCAGCTCTCACGCAGGGCATGTTGCAGGACCTCCCAGAGCCGCTCAGCACGTCCAGTGGAGGATGCAGTGAAGTTGAAGAGCTCCTCCTGTTCCTCGAGGCGAGCCATGCCAGGGCGATCGGATCGCTCGTGACCCTGTTCACTCGACCCGGTCACCACGTTCATGCCGCTCTACCCCGCTCGGTCGTGCTCCGGTGGGTCGGTTGGATGGCGCCTTTGTCGAACACCGTGGAGCTCCATGGACTGGAGTCTTCAAATGCGACTGATGCGATAAAGGGTCTGGATCCCCACCACCTCGAATACCATGCTGACTCACCTAGGGGTCATGCTACCAAAATGGTCAGTACAACAACAAGAGAAAGCTCTTTCACGTCACACGCGCCTCGAATCCCGCCAGCTGTAGCAGCTTTGCTGCCGCACGAGGCGCGGTGAAGATCTCCTGGTGGGACGGAGGGCCAGGCTATGCTGGGCTAGATGGATTTAGATGGATGCTCCGGAGATGCATGTAGATAGAAATCATATACACACACATATACGAAAAATCTTTGTTTTTTAACATGCACACAAAAAATAGTGTCAGGAACAACTCGGAAAGAATGGGAGGGTGAGTAAATGGCACCTCGGGACACTTTTTCAGCCCCATTTCAGGGGGGTAGATGGCACAAGGTTTTTGATGGGTAGTGATTTTGGGGAACGGGGCCACGAAAAAATAGATGGCACAAGGTTTTTTACACTCCCGTGGGGAGTAGGATGGGTGTGCGCTCAGAATTGATGGCGCAACCCATCCAGCCTTTTGATTTCCGGTTGATTCCTTCCCTATTTCCATTCGTGGCTATGGATTTCCTGTCGGTGCCTATTGATTTCCTGTTGAAGCCAGTTGATTTCCTGCTGATTCCTATTGGTTTCCTTGTGGCTCCTTTTGGTTTCCTTTTGGTTCCTTTTGATTTCCTTAGGATGCCTTTTGTTTCCCTCTCATCTCAAACCTAGGAACCTCTTCCAATCCCCGGGCATGGTCAAGCAAAAGTAGATGGCACAAGGTTTTTTGAGGTTGATGATTTAGCCCTCCCATGTCTGGAAAAAGTAGATGGCACAAGGAAAATGAGCTCTCACCGGTAGTGGCTTGCAGGTGCCCTACAAAGTTGATGGCACAACCGACAAAATCGGTTCCTACTATTTTTTTTGAGTATTCATACACATATGTAGCTTCTATATATATATATAAACAAATATATATGCTGTGTCTGAAGTCTTGGCCTCCTCTCTATTCTCCACATATTTAAACGTCTTGACCATAAGAGCTCCTGTGTGTCATGCGCGAATCGCGAACCACCTCTCTGCAGTAGCCCTTCTTTCCCAACCTGCACGGAGTACATGAGCGGCCCCTTTTCACGGCCTTCAATCCCCTCTGGCACTACAGGGCTTCTCTTCCTACCGGGCTTTCCCCGCTCTGGAGCTTGTCCCAGATCAGTTTCTTGTAGTAGGGCGGTGACATACCACACGCGTGGGCGATTGCCCTTATGGGCGAAAGTGCCACACGTGCAAATGCGCCAAAAGGTGTTTCTCCCACGGCCATAACACCGCTTGAAATATTTAGCCGGCATGTCGCCATCAATCACGATGCAGTGTACCTAGAACAGCAACTGGAGCGCGGTGATGCTGACTCTGGGTTTTCCTTCTTAGGTAACGAATACGTCAGCTGCTTCAAGTGCAGCAGCGTCAAGGTCTTTTCCGCCCATTCGGAGTGGCGCGACGAGCTGTCTTGCTAGGGGCTCCGACACCGTCGCTTGCGCTGGAGCCTCTTGGTCGGTCGCCTGGGCAGGCTCGCGCGGCCCAAAGTCGCGCTTGCCTCCACCGCCACAATTTTGCAGAAGTTTTGCTTGTCTTTCGCCTCTACAGCGGAACTTTGGCCAAT